AACTACCGAAATGGAATTTTTTCGTTAGAGAAATAATAGAAGAAAGAATTTTGGGTGGAGAAGAGGCCCCATCACCACTTGTATTTCGTTTCCATTTGCAAATAAGATGACTAGCAATCACCATTCTCGCTTTGCAAATACAGTGAGAAAATTCTCCCAGGGAGTCATTTGATAAGATCTACCGCTGTCAAGAAAGTACGATTGAAGTTATGATGCTTGAGATTATAATGAAAACAATAACCACTCGGCCAACTTGTTCTTGAACCAAAATACTACATTTACAAAAAACCTGTTCCAAGGTTTCTATCTATCTAATGTCCTGACTCTGAGAGAAATTTTTGGATTTTTAAAATATAAAGAACTATGAAAGTAAAAATAAAAAGAAAACAAAACTTTAGGGACTGGACATCAATATTAGAAGGAAATGAAAAAGTTTTCGCCGATTGTTCGATGAATCTGCTTCCTATTCATTCGTTTATTTTGGCTTCTTTGAAGCTTATTTAAGTTAAATTAGTTTATCTAATTAGAGTTATCAAATATACAAAGTCTTTCTGATTATAAATGATAAGAAACGCAGAGTATAATGGTACGTGTGCTGGTTTAATATTATTTACTCTATGCAATCTGCTTAAGCTTATTGCATTTATTTTTACTGTTCACATATTCATATTCATATACATGAGTGTTTATCTGCTTCAAATTTGCGTTTAATAACAAATGGTGATAATTACATGAATAGGATCTTAAATTTTTTTGAATTTGAGAATACAATTGAATACACATTTTTACGATTGATTGATGTGCTAAATGCAAAAGTCTTAAGGAAGAAAAAGAAACTAATTCATCTGACAAGATCTTCAAAATAAAGTCGAAAAATGCAAAAAGATTTAAAAATTAAATGCAAAATTTTTTAAAAAACAAAATCATATAAATCTTAAGGAAGTATTTTCAAATGACATTTTCGGAATACGAAATATGTTTATTTGTTTTGAGCTAGCTAGTTTACCTGGCTGTAGGCCAATGAAACGTTGACCTAGATAAGGAATATTCAGTGACACCTATTGCCGATTTACTCTTCCTTTCCCATAATTTCCTTTGAATTATAATTGGTCTTATTACGGTGTAGCGACACACTATCGAAAAATGTTGCACATTTTGCCAACATGCTACCAGACAGTGGTCTGCAATTTGGTTAGACAATTTAGCCAATTTGAACAATTTTGGTTATTTCAAATTGTATGAAATAAATGGTAAGCGCTTATCATTTCTCGTTAAGCCCAATCCACTGGGTAGGAATTTTTGCCAGGAATTGCGTCAGTTGGCGATAGAAGTGCAGATAAATCATCAGCACCACCAGGATTGTTGAAATACATGTTTAAATACAGGTTCCTGTAGAGTCCGAATTCTGGCTATGGTCTGAATAGCAATATTTTAGCCATTCCACACCAGCAAACACAATAGTGATTCACCATCTGATAAATTTTTGGCAAGGTATACCTATAATAGGCAATCAAGATTAGAAATATTTGTTAAGAGGTAGTGGAAAATGTAACAGTTGAATAAAATTTTTAAATTTTCATTTAAAAATTCATCAATTCGTAATGTTTTGACTTGAGAATAAAATTTTGGTAGATTTGCTGGTGGAAAATTTGTGACGTTCTTTTGGTAGATTAAAATAATTTCAGATTATGCTGATCTATCTAATCAACGGCTGTATTTCGTCGATTCATCGAACAATTGGTAATCCTTATGGTTATATTTATTATTTATTGTATTATTATTATTTATTTATAGCTAATAATCGTTATTAGCGTTTATTATTTATTAATTATGCAGTATAGTGACAAAGTGCTATGTGTTTAAAATCGAGCATCAATTAAACTCCTATTAGTTAATAGGAGCAAATCTGTTATTGAGGGTGAAATATTTGTGGTGCTTAGAGTTCACCTGCAATTCTATCCTCTGTGGCGAAAGGACTCATTTAGCACAACCAGAAATCGCATATTAGAAAAAATTCATTATCATCCTTCACAATGGGTTTAATTCATTCTTGCCTTAATCATTAAGATTGTTCCACTTAGTTTTCGGTTGAAATTCAAATGGTTTGCCTAATTTTATGATGTATATTATTTCCACAATAAAATATAATTACAAACAATTTTCATGCGATACTAATCGCTATTTAATATTTTTTTGCTATAGCCACCATCTAGCTCTTTCATCCTTTTAGCCGTTTTTAATTTAGTTGACACGGACGTACTTGATCCATGTGCGATGTATTGCCCGAAGCCACATTATATAATGTGTGAAGCGATTAAGGACATGATAATAAATAAATATGAACTGGCATGTTTCGTTCTTGATTATGTAGATTATGACACGAAAGATATTGCTTGGTGATTATTATCGTTTCCTAGCAATAAGTATCAAGCTTCTAACATTTAAATTCCATTTACGATTAAATACATATGCAAGCAAAAAAAAATTGTTTAAATCAAAGATTTAATAAATCATTTATGAGAACTTAAAGATAAACACAAACGTAAAGTAATGAAAGTTGTTTTTAGGCATTTTTATCTCACTTCTTTCGTTATCCCTTTATATGATTTTTTCATCGCCAGATTTTTCTTAAACTATTTTCGAAATCCATTCGAATTTTTAACATGTCCATTAAATTCTTTCAATAATCCATCATGTTATGTGTAATACTTATTGGTGTGATAACATTTTAAAAAAAACCTTATTTTCTGAATTAATTCATTTGCTGCATAAACAATGTTTTACAGAATAATTCATTAATAAGACAGGTTTTTTGCTGATGAAACCAATGAAACTAAAGTTCATGTATGTCATAATAATCGTCATAATAAAAAAAGTGATCGGAAATGAATTGGAATGATGGATATATATTTTCCCAATCGCTTAATCTGCCACTGGTATTAGTTGTTCTCTCTCTATTTGGGAACAATTTAGTTTTGCTTTTTGCTTTTGACCAATTTTTGTTTTTTTTGCTGAAAACGGCATATTTAATGCAAAAAGTTGATCTAAATATTTTTCAAAAATTTATTTACGAACTAATTTTTTTGTCCTTGAATCATTTTTGTCATCAATATATTTAAATTCTAATTTATTTATTAATAAAAGTTTTGCAAAAACAAATCGGTTGAAATTGAAAAAAAAATTAGAAATTCCCAAAGATTTTGTTAAAATTTCGTTGATGAAGAATGTGTTAACAATTGTAATATCAAATTATCTATGCGTTAAGATATGTGAAAATGGAAAATGATTCAATTTGCAAAAGTAGATAAATCGCTTACCATTTGTGGCTATAAAGGATTTTTCAATGATAAGTCTACTTCTGTCGGAAGAAGATGCCAAATCCTGTTTTCTCAACATCTACTTAGTGCTCTTGCCATTATTATAAACTAAATAACCTACTGTATATTTGAATATAAATCTGATATTCTCAATCCTTCTGTCACAAATATAGAGGTGTGGCTATAAATTTGTTTTATAACCATTGAATGCAGTGCACCAGAACTGCCTCATTGTTCTAATATAAGTTTTGTCAGAATCGGAAAATCAAATGAAATTCACCCGGTCTGACTTTATCAGAAATTAAAAAACGATTTTTTCTTAACTGATTTTCATCCTATGCGGAGACTTACTTTCATTGCAGTACAACAAAGTGAAAAATGATTTCTCATTGGTTTCATTTGGTTGGTGACTTTTTGTTTCATTTTTTAAATTGAAATATAAAATTAAAATTGCAAAAATATGAGAATTGTACCACTTTCATTAATATTGGTAGTTTTTTTAAAATAAAATGGTGATAGCTGTCCCCATTAATATGGCTTTTTTTCCACTTTTGTGCTAGTCTAAGCGTGGACCATTTTTATCCACTTCTGAGGCCTAATAATGTGGCGTTAAAAAATCGAATGAATTAATCTTTTCATCTTTCGACAAAAAAGAGGGAAATAATTCAACGTATTTCAGTTACTCGTCATTTCCTCGATCAACTTCAATGCAGCTTATTTGCATACATTCGGTATTTTTAATCAACATAATAAGGATATTAGAAACCTTGATTTAAGAAAAAAAATTAACTAAAATTTTTAAATTTAACCTAAATTTTTTCATTTTTCATTTTAAACAATTTTTGTTTTCGAAATTATTCATCATATCATCGAAATTTTGACGAAAAAAATTGAATTTTAGAAAATATAACTGTAAATGAACCGTGTAAAAAGCATTGCCCAATGGATAAATATGAAACTTGTTATGCGAAAAGGAATCATGAATTAAATAACTGGGAAATAATTTGTACGCCGTGAACCATTTCCAGTCGACCATACCAAATTCAGTCGCTTTCACTTTTCTATTTTTCGAATACTGATAATTTGCTCTAAATTTATTAAAATTTGATAAAATTTCAATTGTATTGCCAAAGACGAGTAATTCAACGTTTGTTCCAGAATTTCGGTTCCATAAAGTATCGAAATTATTTATGTTTGATTCTTATGGTTAATTGCTATTTGTCCGTTTTTGACATTGACTTGAAAATTAAGTTGATATTTTCAAGATGTTTATTAATAAAACCAATGTATGACAATAAAACAACATTAAAGAAAAATGTCCATCGAAATTTATGTTCAATAATATATCTTCATCATCATATCTTATGCTGATTCATGCCATATTGAAAGTATCATTTCACCAATGCTCGGATTTTTTTGAATTATTCTTTTTTTTCTGGCAGTTATTCTTTTCGTATTAAGTGAAAAGACTTTTCTTTTAAAGACTTTTTAATGAGTCCATATTTAATTTTTCAGTTTAGTTCTTTATTTAGAAAATTTTTTGAAAAAAGCAGAAATAACTTTATTTGGAAAAACTGAGGTAATCGACGAAAAAACGAAAATATGACATATATCGTCATAATACAAACATAATACATAATACGCAATTGAAAAAGAATTATAACTCGACTTTCAAAAGTCAATTCACAAGGATGTCTCGATAGGCAATGCTTTACCAGTAGAATTCCGTCGTTGAGCATAATTATGGTGAACTGCAAGATCAACGAGAGACTGACTGGCTTGAGAAGTACGTGAATAAGAAAGTTGCGGTAATAAAGTTGGCTGGAACGGCATATGAGAATTTACATTAGATTTAGCTGGAATTGCCATATGAGCCATGACTGGTTTATTTGATGCTTGAAATGTATCTACATTCTTTGATGAGTACATTCTATCAATAGGTGCAACAGAATTTGATAGTGAAAAACGACAATGAAGATGTCCATTAACAATCGTATCATCAGATCGTGTTGAAGAACGAGTACTACTTGCTTCACTGTAAAATGAACGTTCAGTTAATGTTGAATCCACTTCAGAGTATTTTTCTGAATCTGTCGCACAAGTTGAGCATGTTGCAGTACAGCTGTACTGAGTATCAGATTCTCTATATTTGTAGTCATTAAAAATGGGATTTTCCTTTAGGACTTGTCCTGATGGCTCCATGTCTTTCGAACTACTTCCAATAATCTGGTTGTAATGATCAGTCGAATCAATACCTCTGAAAAGCTTTGAAATCAATCGCAAATGTATGTGCCAAATCGATCAAAAATATCAGAAGCTACTTTTTGCTTAATCACTACTATTTCAGTAGCAATAATATTTAAAGAAAATAAAGCGAAAAATTAACCGGACTGACGACAATATAGAATAATAGTCGCTAGAGCGAGTTCCTGTTCCGACTACCAAGCGTGTCGGACCGGACATATTCATTATGTATGTTGGGGATTTCTTCGAACTGTGATCGGTTATTGTCGTTAGAATACTCGATTTCGAACATGATGTTCGAAGTGTTACCGTAGGAGATGATTTATTTTCTCCATGCACCATATCTCGATGTGCTTTCAATATCAAATCTTCTCCATAATCAAATGATTTTGAGCAATTGAATAAACGATTCTAAAATTGAAATAAAAAAAGCTGATGAACCAAATGTTTATCAAATTTATTTCATTCGAAAGGCAGCAAAACTTAACCGACCTTGAACGCTTTACGCTTTGATTTAGGTCAAAACATAATCGTTTTTAGATTGTTAAACGATGAACCTTTTTTAGAGTTATACTGTCCCATGTTCTCTCCTTGCGCTCGCGTTCCATTTTACTTAGGCGAAAAGATGCACGAATGAATTCTTTTCTACTTAGCTCCTCTTCGTCGCGTTTTCTAGATTTGCGGTACCAGCACAGAGCAAGTAAAACGAGGGAAACGAAAAGAATAATAAGGGCAACTGTAGCAAAAACAATCCCACTTCGCCACAAAGGTGGGTTCTCATACGGTCTTACACCTGCAAAAAAAATATGATAAATTCAAGGAAGAAAATCCAAAATATCATTAAAAAATTCAAAGACTTGTGTTTCGACAAAAATCTAAGGAATCTACAGATAGATTTTTAAAAAAATTTGCACTTTAAGATCCATATACAATTTCAAAGAATCATCTGCAATCCATTAAATAAAAAACATTTGTACAAAATGATGCGAATATTCAATGAACAATTCAACTATAACAAACATATAATACCAATTTGACCTTTTTCACAAACAAACGGCAACAAACTATTACAGTTCTGAGTACCAATACTACCTGAACGACTACTTAACCAGCCACAATGTGTTGACGGCACTGAAACACTGGAAATCCAAATATGCCGATCAAAATTCACCTGAAAATACTAAGATTACAAATTAAAAAAATCAAAAAATAAAAAACCAATGACAATACTTCTACAGCAGTTATTATTATACTAACTGCGAATGAACTGATTTTGTCAGTATGATCGATGAACGTATGTGTGATAACATGAACACGTTTAGCCAACTCCTTTTGTCTGATATCGTTAACAAGCAAATAAGGAAGAAAGGCACCCATTTCCTGCAAATGCGACTTGTTTGTTTAAAAAATTAACTTCTAAAACTGAACGTAATAAATAAGATATAATATAACATATGTAAGCACGCACTTGGCAATAAATAATAGCAGATGTATAAGTGGTAACAGCGCCCACATAAAGAAAACATGCTTTAAATTCATCTACTCCAATCTGGAACCAACCAGCAGGGCAATCACCTAAAACGAACACGATATTAAATATTGTTAAATAGTATTAATAAATTCTTAGCTTATGAATTCATAGTACGTGAATGGCTCACAAGCAGAATTTAGATTCCACTTTTGATCTGGCAAGAAGAAAGTGCAAAAAATAAATAATAGGTTAATAATAGGTTAACCTAATAAGCCTCCAAAAAAAATTTCCTAGATTGATGAGATACGATAAAAGAATACCATCGATGATGGAAGTGTTCGATTCTAATACCGGTTCATAAGCAACTGGCATCAGATATTCGTAATCCTTATAATCACGGATTTTCCCACTTGCAACGCTTACTGTTCCTGGGTATCCCCAATAATTCTTTTTGGCATCAATTGAACCAGGATTGAAACTATAAGTCTGAGTTATTTAAAATCATAAAATAATCGTCGTACAACAATCAGGAACTGAAGCATAGGTATTTAACTGGATTTTTAACAAACATAATTTCGTACTTCATTATGCGTGCAGAAGTAATTTCATAAGGATTATCAGGATTGATGAAAGCATTCATCCGATAAATTCCGCTAGAAGTACCAGCAAAAATTGTGCTTCTATATCGTTCTGAATCACGACCAACGTGGGTCCACCAATCAAAGCTCACATTCTCCTCGACTAAGACTTGGCGTTTTGGTCGATGTTTGAATTCATCTTCCAAATTACGCGGTTGAAAACCATATCGTTCCTAAAAACACCAACAACTGCTATATTCTGATTAAAATCACTAGATAGAGAAACCTAATTTAGCAAAAAAAGTATAAGTGCAAGTACCGTAAGAATACTTTCGAACAAAATAGTGGTAGCCGACTTTTTAAAACTAGAAAAGTTGCAAAATGCAAAAACGGCCCGGCCGATAAAGAACTATGGTACTAAAAAAACACTAAAAAAACATGAAGTACACACAGCAATAAATAACGAAGAATGCTTAAAGACTTACTAAATATTGATGGCCATGACCGAGTGCAACATTATTGATAAACCAATTGTTCTGAATGAAATGAGCCTCAGAAGATAATGATGAAAATGAACGAAAATCGAGACAGTGTAATCCAGTATTATTGAAAAATAAATTATGCGATAAATTAGCATTCACTCCACTGGCAATGAACACATCATGATATAAAGCATAGTTCATTGCAACAATGTTGTTGAAGAAAGAAAGTTTCTAAAAAAAATCCTCAAAATAAACTAGTACACTTGATATGATCAATATTAGATGCATGAAATATAAAATTTAGAAATAAAAGCCTTAGTTAAATCAACTAGATCAGTGAACCTCAACGTGAAGCCTGAGGACCCAGGATCGCCGAGTGGATTTATAGCACCACGAATTTTCGTTGGGAGCACGGAAATTCCCTTCCAATTCCCCTTCCAATATTCTACCTTTACAAAAATTCCTTTTGGGAATCCGCTCCACTATCTTTTTTCTGTATAGATTTAACTTTTCTGCCACGCGAGACTTTTATTTCTTATTAATATTGTAAAACTCTGCGGCCAGCGTTCTACTTCTTACTTTTCTCTTTGTGAGCGAACCTCAAACTTGGGTAATTAAACCTTTATTAGTAAAGACGCAAATATATACAAGAAAATAAAGCGAAGTAATTGCCCTACTATAAAGAAATAATACATCAAAAAAATCAAATATAAAATCTAAATGCCCATCACTCACCGCTGCGACCGCTCCCCCACTCTTTTTTCCCTAATAGAAGCACAAAATGACCAAAATTGATCATTTGGGAGCTTATATTTAATTAAAAATGGACGGGAATCCGAATGACTTGCTCAAATTTACAGCTTTTTTCGCCATTCGGCGACATTGCCGCCTGACAAAATCTGGTACACATATAAGCACTGCTATGAGCAAGCATCCCTATCAGTTTCCATCTGGGCTTAATAAAATAATAATGATCTCGACTATTCTTAAGAATTGATTCATTTATAAATTCTTCTTTATTATTAAAATACGCATCTTCCTTGAGATCATTACAAATATTAAAATTGAGAACCTGTCCACGCACGCGGGAGATGGTTCTCTCTTTTGCACAACTGCATGTTAGGTTTTTTGTTTAATATGGGACTTAAAAAATCTGGGAACCTCTCTGTTCCTAAAGACCATCACATCCTGATCCCCTAATGGTGTGTCTGGCTGTGTACAGTGTTCCTTAGAGATGGGTTCCTCTTCCTCCGTAATTTCTAAAGGATATAGGAGAGATACTGATCTACTTAATTCTTTACCATTGGCCAACTTAATTTTTGCCGATTTTATCTTATGGGGATTTAGAATTTTTCCCTGAAGCACATCATTTATTTCGACGATTCTAGCCAATTGCCAAATGCCTCTATCTTTGTTCTCTTCACACATTAAAACCACTTCATTTACTTTTGGGCTTCTATTCACATTCGAACGGGGATTGCGATGCTGACGGCTGGCCTTTTCCCGAAGTAGGTTGATATAATCCTTCCGCCACACTTCCCAAAATCTTTGGAGTAATTTTTCAGGTTCTTTCCATCCTTTTAAGAATACATCTCTACTACAATTTTCCGATCTGCCATAGTCTTCATCCTCCTTATTCAGTAGTAAGTGGTTTCTCATTCCCTGCATTCCTGGACAAATCAAATCAATAGGACGGATAATTTCGCAGAGTTCTTCCATGATATATGTTAATGGTTTCAAATTAACAATGTTTTCCACTTCCATTAAAAGCGTTCTCAATTCTTCATGTAGCAACTTTTTGCCTACCATTTTCCTCATGTCCATTTTCGTTACACCAATCATTCTCGTTCATAAACTCCTTCTTGCCAAGGCGCATGTGGCGTTATAAATTTCCAATTTACGTTCCCTTCCACTAGTTGAGAGCTGAGTATTTTAGCTGTTGATTCGAAATTCGTGGCGTTATCTGACAGAATCGTAATTGGTGAACCCCACCTGGCTGAGAATCTACGAAATTTGTGGATGAAAGAAGCTGCTGATAAATCGTAGATCATTTCTAAATATATAACTCTAGTTGTCAAGCAAGTGATGAGGACTGCCCACCTCTTAACGACCGTGGTTTCTTTCCGAACATTAAAAGGTCCAAAAAGATCTAATCCGACTGATTTAAAGGGTCGTTGTTGCTGAATTCTGTGAACCGGCAAACTGTCGGATAGTTTAAACGGCTTAGCAATCCATCTCCTGCAGCGCATGCAATTTCTCCTTATTGCATTTCTTACAGTCTGTCTATCCTTCGAAATCCAGTACTCTTGCCGTAGTAGTGCCAGCGTGTATGTGGTAACACAGTGACCATGAGTTGTGTGAAGATGTAAGATAATGAGTTCGGTGACTCTGCTCTTTCTACGAAGGAATATTGCATTATTGGAGGAATATGACCTTTACATCTGTAAACATTATTCTCGTCCTGATAAAGTTCCCATTTTAATAAATCTTCTGAGGCTATTCCTTCCGACTGCAAATTACTACAAATTTTATTACGCATACGACTGTTACGATTAATTTCTGAGATTACTGAGATGAGATATATCGATCACCTTTATCCTTTCAATCTCTCCCATGGTTTCACTTTTAAGAAAGTTGTGACGGTTTGGTGGATGATTTCATTGTGGGGCTCCTTTGGCCAATTTTCCTGACTGTAGCTCAGCCAGTCAAGATCCTGTCACCACAACGGAAAAAGTTTTAATTTCCTCGTAGACATTCCCTTTGAAGCATCATCTGCAGGATTTTCTTTTGAGGGAACACAACGATGACATATGTTGGTGTCTTCTGATTTCTTCTAAATGGTCTTCAATCAAATCAACTGGGTCTCCGATTCCAGTAGTTTCTAGAGACCGGAAATGCGACAGATCTTGATCTGTCAGCGCCGTGAAGCTTGCTAAGCTACGACATGTTCCTTGTTGTGCATGTAACAGCCAATTAAAAGCTCTCCCAGCAAATATTTTACCTAACCGTGAAGTCAATTATATATCCGCCAGAGTCCTTTACGCCTGATCTCATAAGAGAGAAATAATAATCTGAGCCTATAAATATATCGAGTTTCACCATTTCCATTACACCTTCGTTCTTGAAGATTGATATCCTTTCAACTGCATGTATTTTATTTGCGATGTCAGTTGTGCCATCGTATTTGCCATTATCTTGAATATAGAGCCATCACGAAGTACCCCTACTTCTGCTATCGAGGTATGGTACTTCTGAGGAATTTTTGATGCGAAACTTGATAGAGTAATTGTTTGTTGTTCTCTTGCTACAAGCTGCAACTTTTCTCGTAATGTTTCTGAAATATATGGTTGTTGGGTTCCCGTGTCCAACAGAATTAAAGCTCGAATCTTCTTCCTTGGTTTCAATGGATTTATCACGAATACCTCCCTGCAAGGGAGGAATACTTCGTTAACTATTGAATTTTCTCTTAAAAAATTGGCAGTGGTAGATGGTAACTGCTATTAGAAATAGCATAAAGTAAAAAGTCCCATTTGTACGAAGGACCGCAACCACTGCCTCATGCTGGAATCGAACCAGCGACCTTCTGTCACTTGTTCTTGATCTTGTTGGATTTTCTGTTGCAGCTCATCTCTCTTTTCCTGACATAATGCGTTATTATGGTTCTTGGAGCAGTTCATACACTTTATAAGAAGCTCTCTTCATAAGAGGCTATCTTTTTACATTGGTGACTCCAATGTTCTTTCTCACAAAATATACATTTCTTGATATTCCTCTTCACGGCTAATTTATTCGATACCATAGTTGACTTGATACGTTCTGACTGCTCCTTATCATGGCTATTTTCCTCTTTAAAGTTATTTATAGTCTAGTACTTCCGTAACTTTTCCTTATCACCACTCCTTATCATTCTGCTTAATAGAAGCTCTTCCTCTTCGCAGGCTTTTATTACATTCCTTAATTCGCTTATATCCCATGTTGGGCATTTTCTTTTTTCTTCTAGTACTCTTTTTAGTATATGTATTGGCTTATGCCATGTTCAAAATCGAATTGTTGTTGATATCTTCTCCTAAACTGGCGTCAACTGGCGAAATATTTGCTCCAAGTCCTTGCGAATCCTTTATATCCTTTGTTTTTGGATTTAATTCTCTTAATTCTTTATATAATTCTTCAATAATAATGGATTTATCTCCATATCTGCTTTCCAGAATTCCCCACACGTTCCTATAAGACTCACCATCCATAGGGAATCTTTCTACCAATTTCTTCGATTCTCCTTCCAGGCAAAATATGAGATATCTACATTTATCCACTGGATCAAGACTTCTATTTCCAATGGTCGATAAAGTTATCCTTAAATGCGACCCAACTCCTTGTTGATCCATCGAATTTCATCATTTGTAATTTCGGCAGCTTTATGAATGGTTGATATTTCTGTGACTCCACTTCTGTTTTCTCCATTTTTATTGTGATTTTATGGTCATTTAAATTTCTACTGCAACGTCTAACGTCCAAGTCTAAATTTGCCTTACGCGCCTGTTGAACGAGTCGCAAGTACCCACTCGGGCTAGCTGCCATCAATTTATATTCTTCTATACCAGCATCTCTATTGGCATTAAGAGGGTCATTTATTAGTCCTCCCTATTCTCTTATCCCATTACTAACATAATGGGCCAATTGGCTAATATCTAACTTAAGCTACTCTATTTCATCCAGCTGTGCAAATTCTATTTGTGAGTGGTTTAAATTTGTAAAAGTCTTAAAACCTTCTATTTTATTTAAGCATTCAATTAATTCGGTTGCGTAAGGGTCAATGCTCAATTTCAATAACGAGATCATTTCGACAATGTTCGGGTCACAGCAAAACAAACTTCCAAATTTTCAAAAATAAATCAATAAACTTACAAATAATGATGAAGAATACAGAAACTCTTATGAAAATTCAAAAAAAAAAAATTTTCAAGGTAGAGGTATCAATAAAGCCTCTCTGAATATCGATTCTTGACGGTCGATACATCTTTTTTTTAATTCTTTCCTCGATAAAATTTATCTAAATGATATCGATCAATAATCGACCAATAATTGATTGACATTCTTACTTTAAAGTGTTCAATTCGAACAACGAGTATTCCCGGCTTACGCACCATGTACAGAAAAAAGATTTATAGCACTACGGATTTTCGTTGGGAGTACGGCGATTCCCCTTCCAATATTCTAATTTTACAAAAATTCCTTTTGGGAATCCGCTCTACTATCTTTTTTCTATATAGATTTAACTTTCCTGTCACGCGGGACTTTTATTTCTTATTAATATTGTAAAACTCTACAAACCACAAACTTGGGTAATTAAACCTTTATTAGTAAAGACGCAAATATATACAAGAAAATAAAGCGAAATAATTGCTCTACTATAAAGAAATAATACATCAAAAAAATCAAATATAAAATCTAAATGCCCATCACTCACCGACCGCTCCTCCACTCGTTTTCCCCTAATAGAAGCACAAAATGACCAAAATTTGTCTTTTGGGAGCTGATATTTAATTTAAAATGGGCGGGAATCTGGACGACTTGCTCAAATTTACAACTTTTTTCGCCATTCGGCGACCGAGAACCTTTCAGAAGGACGGTTAATGCCAAAACCTTTTTCATCGCACTTAATAAGTAATAGCGTGAGTGATACATAATAATAACATACTAACTAAATTTCAAAACTCGATTTCAACTTTTATTATAATTAAAATAGGAAAAGTATAGGCTGAATTAGATACTCATACCGCGTTCTCATTGAGATGTTAATGGGGACTATAGAAAGAATTTTCTACTAACGAACGATAGTTTATTCCACATTATTTACGAATTATCTGCGAACTAAATGTGATTAAAGTGGTTATTTTCCCTCTTTATTTATCTTTATTTATTAAATTTTTTTTTGTTCTCTTGATAACAGTAATTGTAATGACAGCAGTAGCAATAATGTAAACATTTTATTAACTTATATCTTCTAACTTTTATGAACATATAATTATGAAATTTATTCATTTTTTTTGGCGAGAACAAAACTGTTTATCAGAAAACTAAAATGGTCATTAGGGAACCATCTCTATTCCAAGTGGCTCTATGGTGAAAAGACCTGATTGAATTCATATGGCACCTGCAACCTTCGACATGCTTGGCGTGCAGTGATACATGCGATAAGTAAGCAAACCAGACCTATTAAAAATGCGAAACTGGCAATTTTCACAGACCACTATGATTTGACCTCAAAACTCCATGAAGCTGACAATACGCATGAAGCAGCATCCTCCGAAATTATTCAGCTTTTTCAAACCAGAAAATTTGGGGATAGTCAGTGCATTTAAAACCAAATTATTTGTATAGCTCATTCAATATTGCCCCGGCTAGAAGCGCCTCTTCAAAAATCGGCCAAATCTACCCTAAGATATGCCACTTATACTCGCTGGTAGGGTAACGGAAGCAACAACGGTTCAACTATTTGAAAAACTTACAAGAACACGCATGTAAAAGAATATTTGCTATCGGATGACAAAGACATGCAGTAACAACGGCAAGGGAAACAGAAACAAAAGTTGGAGTACGGCCCTAAATTTGGAGACAACTACTGCAGTATGCGATAATAGGAAACTACTTCACCGCTTTCATAAAGCAACCACAACTTCGAAAAGGTCAATGATTTGCGATAATTTCCAAAATTTGGAAATTGTCCGATATAGTTCCCATTCATAAAAAAGAAAGCACCTATGACGCTTCTAATTACAGGCCTATTAGCTTAACATGTGTTGGAAGCAAGGTACTTGAAAGGTTGATTTGCAACAAATTGTTAACTTATCTTGATACCAATAATTTCATATCTTCTTATCAGCATGGCTTTTGCACAAAAAAATCTACTTCTTCACAAATATTGGCAAATCTCCCTGATTGGTCAGCATCAATTGACAATGGAAAAATAGTACCAGTTGTGTACTTAGATTTGGCTAAGGCTTTTGATACTGTTTCCCATAGAAAATTACTAATCACTCTTAATAGTTATGGCATAACAGGGACCTCTATAACTGAGTGTCAGATTGCATAAGAGACCGTTACCAGGCTGTATATGTTAACAACACTCTTTCTGACATGAAACCTGTTAAATCAGGCGTACCCCAAGGTACTTGTATTGCGCCATTGCTATTTCTATTATATATAAATGATATCACCACAGTGGTAATAAATTCTACTATTTATCTTTATGCTGATGATGGTAAAATTTATTGTTCACATGGTAGAGCGGAGAGCCTATCTCCACTGCAGGAGGACCTCAACAGAATAGCTGACTGGCTATATGACAGGCAAATTACCCTTTCCTTTCAAAAATGTAGCGTTCTTCACATCAACTCTAAAGGATTCGATCTTTCTAACCTTTTTATAAATGGTAATTTAATCAATAGAGTCTCACAACTCCGATCTTGGAATAATCATGGATGAAAATCTCGATTTCGATCTTCACTGCAGAATCATAGTAAAGAAATCCTTAACGATACTAAATTTTATTTTTCGTTCGTTTAAGAACAAAACTGAAAGCTTCCTTATCAAATTATACAATGCATTCGTTCGGCCTCTTCTTGACTACAGTACTACATGTTACTCTCCGAGACATCGCAAAACAGGTAAAATAATAAAATAATCGAAGGACTCCAAAAATATTTTCTAAGACGCCTCTCTCCTAATAAAAATTATAATTTTAATTATAAAAGAACACTTCTAGAACATAACATGGATTCTCTCTCAGTTCATAGAATTAAACAAGATTTAATTTACACATATAAGATTCTGTATGATTATGTTAAACTAGATTGCTCGAAACATAACTTTAGACTAAATTTGAATCCAACAAGAACTAATGGCTTAAAATTACTAAAACCTATATGCAAAATAAATTAAGGACTCATGACTTCTTTATTCGTACTATTAACTACTGGAACAAATTACCGAACGATGTAGCTTGTGCGTCATCCTTAGCTGTCTTTAAAAAAAGACTAGATAATATCATTTAGGATATTATTTAAAAAAAAAAGAGAAGAGTTTACACCAGGCAAGAACTGCAGGAAGTGAGGAATCTCGATTTTATCTTCAGGTTATATATGTTACTTCGAATTGTACTATATTATATTGATCTGTAATTTCCTCTTTAAATTGTTAATTTTTGTCATATTGTTTTATAATTAATTTTGTTTATGTTATTTTTTTTTGTGTTTTCTTTTTCTGTTATTTTAACTGTTATTATTAATACAAACACATGGCGTTGTCGTCCTGCTTGGCTGGTTATCAATAAATAAATAAATAATGATATGCCTGAATCATCTAAAAGGGTAGAGGGAATTCTTTAGGGTTAAAATTTACCATGATGCGCCACGATTATTTAGGAAATAGCTGGATCGCTTGTCGAGCTATATTCGAAACGCAAAGCGCCAACAAAGCAAAAAATAATATTCGTCATTAGGAAGCCTAACGGACTTGTTTTGAAAGCTTTTCAAATGTTGTCCGATGTCCTTCACAGCTCTCCTTCAACGGATTGAAATACTCTCTCTCTCGTATGAAAGAAACAACTGATAATTAGAGATAAATTACAGATGATTAGAGCAAACCTAACTCCTATCGCCATAAAGGATGATAGGATATACTGTGACAAGGAATTCAATTAAGACACAGCTGGATCATAACCAAGTTGGATCCATACCGAGACGCAAGTTTGGAAGACCAAATCTTCATGATAAGGTTTTGAATGTTGAAACATTAGCTTCAAATAAAATGTAAATAAGTCAAAAGCCTTTCCGTTTTACCAGAGCTGATAAGATACCTTTTATCATTTCATCTTCATTCTTATTCTCATTCTTATTCATTTAGCGAAGAGAAAGATGAAATTAAAGTCGAAACAAATGCAGTTGGAAATGCCTTCTTTCATCAATTCAATTCTATAGAATCGCCAGGAAATCATCAAAATGAAAGTACGCATCTATTTGCTTGCAATATGTATCTTCTTGTCATATTGTCATATAGCTGCGAAACTGGCCAAAGAAACTGAAAGATATTAAAAAGTTACCTACCTTTAATCACTCATATCTAAGGTATATGCTCCCAACATTCCACATGATATATCTTCGATTAAATACTATTAGCATTAACAATACCATCATGCGGCACCATCTGGCTGGTTACGACATGTTCTGTGCCCATATCAGAAAAAAATGACAAATATCTCACTGCTTGCTAAATCTGTGATAAATGGAGGCCAATCAAGCCATCGCGAAGCGCGATTTATAATATTTTTTAATTCTTGCCCTTGCGATTTTCCAAAGAAGTTAATTTATATACTGATTAAATTGGTTGGTTGACTCAACCAAATCATCGATACCACTTCCAAATTTTTCTAGAATCAAAAGTAACATAATTCATATGGTTAGTCCACGTAATTATTGAGGTGAATTTTTTCGCTTTGGTTAATTAATTCTCTCTATAAAGCATACTATTAAAATGAATTCATGATACCCTTAAGATTTAATTTTACAATTTATAAAGAACTTGTTTGATTGGGTTGTCACTGCCTACCAAACAAATTGCCACCAGCAAATGATGGAACATATGCAGTAAATCAACACTCAGTAAATAAATTTTTTTGTATTTTGTTTTATTTTTATTCATTCTTATTTCACTTTTATAATGGCTTTTATTTTTTAAAATAAGTGTTCACTAAAACATGCTTCATTATTCGTTATGTGCAATTTTTACCCAGTTAAGGCTTCCTGTTTTTAAATAAAAAGCTTAATTATACAAGTTCGAAATATTTGTCATTCACATTTCTTACACGCAATTTAGAAGCCCAAGCGACGTGGCAGGCAATAAAGTCTTATGCAAATAATCAGTCTTTTGGCTAAGCGACTGAGTAACATTTTTACTTATTGAATTTATTTTTCTGTATTCTCTGGATTATTTAAACTTATTCTATGTTCTAAAAGGCTGACTTTCACACATATCTTAGATTGACATAACCAGGAGACATAATGTATGGGTGGCCCAGAGATATATATGGACTTAGACGGTTAAAAAAATATAGCTTCGATTACTCTCAAGTATGGCATCAAATCAAGCTGTTTGGAAATGCCTTACAACAAGGGAAGCGAAGGGGAGCTCTATAATGGAAATATGAGGAAATTCTTACACCAGGATGAGAGTTATATTTGCTCGTGAAAAACGACAAAAAAAGATCCAAAAATTGACTAAGAAATTTTGAATTCAACAAATAAAAAATATAATAAAAATTAATTCTAAATGTAAAAGAAAACCAAAATCTTTTTCATATTTTCATTTTGTTTTCATGTCCAACAGTAAATTTTTAGCTTACTTGATTGCCATTCCCACAGAATTTCAGTGAAGTCGCATTCACATTGTAGCTGAAGGCGCAATCTTTAATAACCAATGCAAGACTAGCGATAGGACTGGATGTTTTACCAACTATGTAAACTCCACCAATATTATGACTCACCAAAACACCACGCATCTGAGTTCGCTGAAATAATGAATCGATCAAAGAAAATTATTGAACATAATGAATATAAACAATTTTAACATAAAACTAAACAATAGCCGATATTAAAAAGCCTAAATAACCATTAAAAAGCTATACAAATAAGCAAATAAACTAGGACTAGGATAAGTTCAATAGACATATTGCCTATTCTTTATTATTGGCAGAAAAAAAATGCAGTAAACGAAGACAAACAGGTAGAATATATAGGCAAAGCATTACAAAAAAGTCTAAGGCCTAGGGCAATATACATTATGAAGAAAAAAAGAGCGAAATTGCGAATTTTCAAGTAATTTCATGGTTATAAGCAAAGCATTCAAAATCTAACACGATCTCCACCAGAACTACGTAAAATATCAAGCATTTAAAAACCATCCCTTTTTCCATTGTTTAGGTCCATATATTGCTGGTCCGCCTATACGTTTAAAATCTTGTCTGACTATATCAATCCAGATCCTGGTCCACCTCGCTTTTGACACCACCCATCATAAGGTTTAACGAATAGCGAAATGTGTCAACTCCTGTGGTGGTCGAAGAAGAATGTACCCTAATCAACGAGGGTGATATTCTGTGATAACACTGTTAATGCAAATGGTTTAAGAGGGAAGATGGCAATCATGAGATTTTATCCGCTTGGCGGACTCGTAAAATCTTGGAAATAATTGGTCAAAGAAAGGTAATTTCTTAATATCCTCCACCTTCACCGGTCATGTCTCGTGGACATATAGAAGATTGAACGAATTGCAACTATATAGACACAGCCTTCATTTTTATGGTAATTTCGCGACGATTACATGAAAGTTTCGTGAACTAGAAGAACGCACCTGTCGTAATCTCGATCGTCTTTTGCTTGGCCGTTTAGGATTCGTCAAAATTGTCAGCAAAAAGGACTACATCATCAGCGTATTCAAAATCTGTGATACGATGCTCTGGATTGATTTATGCACTTCTTAAAGTGCCGGCAAGCGGTATCCATTATCGAGTCCATCGCATAGTTGAATATTGTAAGGGGAAAGACGCAACCTTGATTAAAAGAAGTCTGCCCCATATACACAAACCTGCGCCGACGTATACTTATAAAATGCCTTTATGAGTAGAATCCTCTCTACACCGTCGGAACACCGTTGCATGCCATCACCATCGAAAACGCCGTTCCATTAATTGAATCGAAGACAGCAGCAAGGTCGATGAAATATGTAACAGTGGTTGCAGATATTTGAAGCAATGTTCCAACACCTTTCTTAACGTGAATATCTGGTTAGTGTAACCGTGCCCCGATCTAAATTTAGCTTGATCAGGGCGCATCCTGCTGTTCCGCACTGCCATAAGTTTAATGAGCAGAAGGGAAGTAGAAATTTTCGCTGAGACGTCTAATAAAGTGATTCCTCGGTAATTGCCACGGTATGTCCTATCATCTTCCGTGGGAATTGAGAGCAGAATTGTTTTGCTGCAGTCATCTGGTATTACTTCTTTCTTCCATATATTTGTTGAAGATATTGTCGGAAAAACGGAAATAATAAGTATTTTCCCGTGTTTAAAATCATAAATCAGTTGTATATCCGGTATTTTTATATGCAAATTTCCTTTGTAGCTGTGAGAATACTTTCAAATACTTTATAAAGAAATTACACGCCTAACTATAAATTATTATTTGGTCAGTTTGTTTACTGGGCCAATGAATTTATCGGTCGGCCAATTAGTCAATCAATTTCTACAATACGTCCTTCGTATTTTTCCGTAGTCCTACCATTCAATTCGTTATATTGATATCGTTTTGCACGTCACTTTATAATAATAATTGATATTATTTCGCACATTGTCCCATTATATTGGTATCAGAACAGTAATAAAATCTAAAACTAGCTGTATATTCCAAGTCTAATTTGTGAAATCGCTGACGAGTACGCAAGTCACTTTCAAAAATTTTCGTTTTTTTTCTTTTTTCTGAATTAAAAAAACTTTTCACGACAGTGTTATGAAAGATAATAAACAACATTTGAATATTTCGGTCCTAGAAGACCATTTTCTTATCTTCAGTTTTATTGGCCTTAAGCTTCTATATGACAAAGATTATATTTCCTGTTCTGTTGGTAGTTTACAGTTTCATCTCTATGAACGAATTAGCTATGTCCGAAACAATAGCTAGCGAATCGCAGAAAATTTCTTCGTAAAGAATTCTTTCCATCTTATGAGATTATCCTTAATAGCCTTAACACCATTAATAGCCTTAATGAAATGATACGGGGCACCATTATTGTCTCGTATCATTTCATTAACCGCTTCCACAGTTATGGATGGTTTGTGAAGGTGAAATAGTTTCCTACTGTCAGCTAAACAAGGCACCGTCTCCATTCTCAAGGATATATAGTGATTTCCGTCCTTCCGCGTTGCTGTCATTGTAATTCTTCGAAGCACCCGATAATCAAGATCGCCTGACATTCGGGCTTTGGCAGCCTTTTGAGACAGTTGGACAGTTACTTCCGGTACCCAACTAACGCAAATATGCCCTAATGTGGAAGTGACTGACTTTCGGAGACATGCCTTTAATTGGGACCAGTATTCATATGCCACAGATGCCGCTGACATCTATATCACTAATTTCCTTCAACAATTCGGTTTGAAATGCACTCACTGTCCCCAAATATTTTAGTTTGAGATAGTTGAAAGATCTTGGGGAACTGTTTCTTACGAACTAACAATTTTCTGCGTATCATAGCTTAAACCACAACATAACCATATCCATGAAGGCTGCCCATTTCAGCGCTGAGGTAGGAATGACTATTTAATACCGAACTCCTCTTCCAACAGCGACTGACTAAGGTATAATCTGATTGGAGTGGTTAACTGGTGAGTTCCACGTGACGTGTATTCTACGATACTCCAAGCAGGTATTAATAACAAGAAGATGCTCATCATGCACTTCAACAAAACGAAGAAGGGGCACACCTGACTCCAATACTATAATACTACAATATTTTCCAGTTACCAAGTTCGTGAAGACACCATGATCTACGCGCGCATTCCAGCCTCCTCCGATTATAACCAATTATTCCGATTATAACCATGTCATTTTTCGGCAGAAACTTTGTTAGCAGTTGAAGTTCCACATAGAACTTATCTTTGTTAGATCTGCCGATCATCTGCCGACAAAGTTGGAGTATATAAACAAATGACTGAGATATTGCAGAACTTACCTTTAAAGCAAGTATTGACCATATGGTCGCTTAACCCGTTTCCACTCAATCAAAACCAAATGGGCCTTTTCAGACATAATAATCGCTATACCATTTCGTGCAGAGTTTGTACGAAACGCCGCAAAAATATAGCATCTCTTAGCACATAGCCAGGTTTAGCAATTACTCGAGAGCGAAGCGAGGAAGATGTATTTCCAACAGGCAATATCCATACGATATTTAGAAGAGACGATGAACACTTGGCAACGCCTATAAGCGTTCTAATGTTCCACGCTGCTATGGCTAACATCTCGCCAATCGTACAGTGACCCGTTACCATTGACAGGGCGATTGCCGTGATTTGCGATTACATTTACAAGCCTTAGGATCGTCTGGATTGCATATTTATCACATGCACCACCGGGCTTGGAGTATCACGATTCGGAGGACGCAAACGTCGCGTCAAGAACATCAGATTCTTTCATCAGTTACTTCTGAGCAGAATTACGCATGGGACCCTAACAGCCACCCGGATATGATTGGTTCTCCTGTCGAAGACAAGAATAAATAAAAAAATTAAAAAATAAAATTTGAGAAAAAAATAAACTTAATTGAAGAAAAATATCGTTTGAGGTGCCCAAACGAAGAATTGTAATAATCAACAACAATTATTATTTTTCTGCGCTTTACATAAAGATTCAAATGGAGGCCTAGATTTCACTACTTTAAAATAAAAACAAATGGAGAAATATGTAAGTACCAAAGTATTATGCAAATGCAACTCAACAGCATGAGTTGAAGTTGTAATATTGCCAAAAAGATGATAGCCATTATTCTGAATGCTACATTCTTCAAGCAATAAGCTCGGGCCCATCTCACCAGCACTGCTATATGATAATGCGCCCCTATCATTCTGGATCAAACGACTTTGTCGAATAATCACTTCATCTACCAATTCTAAACAAAGAATTCACGAGTCAAGGCAAATAGTAATTCCAATTTCTCTCAACAACTGACTTTAAATCCCCTATATTTTTAGAAAATTGATGAAAGATACCAATATCGAATAAAATTTAAGGATAATCAGAATCGGTTCCCATCTGATTCATTTGCTGATTATTTTTGCAGTGATTCAAAAATAAAGAAAAAAATGATCAACTAAGTGGAGAAGAGGATGGAAGAACGGAGACTACTGCCAGAAACCCATAATTAGAATCAGCAGCACTGCCACGAAAATGTAATGCGAGATGTGATTCTGACTGCAGTGGTGAAGAAAAATCTAAGCTGCTTCCATTGTAACGATGTAAAAGTTGAGTAAATAATTCATCTTTATAAACAGCGAGAGAATCAGCTCGACCCAAGTTTACCTGCGATCCATTGTATATGTTTACCTGTAAAATTTGATCGATCAAACCTAATTAAATTTTATAAAACCATTAATAACTGCGAAAAAATCTTGTACTATACCACTGAACCAATTTATGTTAAACGTCTTCTATAGTACAGAGTAAAATTTGTTAAATATTTGTAATATGTAATAAAGAAAACGGCAAACAATAATAAAAATAAGAATTGCTGTCTTTCTTGTAATATTAATTAACAAACTAGACTAGGAAATGCATATCTCTACAAAAACCTGCCAGAAGAACGTTAAAAATCTATTTTTTAAGATCACCATAACCATTCACTCTTGGTTCAATTCTTAAACGACCAGCAGCGTTAAGACTTATCTAAGAATCCTTATGTCTAAAAAAACACTTGACCGTTATTGAAAGTTAATAAAATTTGCCACACGAGTAAACTGGTGCCAAACGATGAGGTAAATTAAAATTTAACCAACTTGTAAAAACCAAAAGGCAATATTACGACCAATTTCCACAAAGTGCTTTACACAATCCACAGGGAAAGAATCATACTTGTAAAAAAGAATAATTCGGGAAGTAATATGAAAGCTTTTACGCGATGAGCACATATCTACCATTCCGCGAATATCATAAGGGATATCTAGTTTTCCGGAAGTGGATGCTGAAAGATTTCATTGTACATTAGTGATGCATGACGATCAAGCAAAAACGATTAATGAGATAATTAAAATTACATAAGACGAGGCAGATTAAAGTTGAAATATCAAGAAAAATCCTTTGGATAAAGTATAATGGCAGATATAAAGGACAAAAAAGTTATCATAATTTTAAGTTTTTGAAATGGAACCAAAAAATTTTTGCAAGTGAAACAAAAATATCTCCAGAAAAGTGAACTAAAGTCTGACCTAGTATTAACACAAGGCTCAATGCAGCAATCTTTAAGAGTTTTAATTCTTAATTTGAAAATCGATTTTGAAAACGTAGCTAACCTGGGTTTGCTCCAGTCCCCTGATGATTGAATATCCAAATAGTTAATCCATGACCACGATTCTGAGTGATATTCATTCCGGTGATTACCAATTTCCCCTGTGGATTAATAATCTGAAAATATTTGATAATCAAAAGGAATAAAATTTTTTAATTAATATTTATCAATCACATAATAGTTAAAATGAATTAAATTATGAAATTACTAATGAACCTGCACAGCATGCATAGAAGAATTTGTAACATTAACATTTTCCAACAAGGGTGATCGTTGTATTAACACAATAGCACTTACACCCACAGTTTCATTGTGAGCGAATCCACCACCAATAATTTCTACGTGACGTAAAATAGAAGCATCTTAAAAGCCAACCAAGAACTACATAATTATTTTTTCGCGAAAAAATAATTCACAATAAAAAAAAACTTGTACCAAATTAAATTGTCAATGGTTGATAGGATCAAAGGAATATGAAGGCTAAAAAAAATTAAAATGTGACACTTAATGGTAATAACAGTTCAGTGGGGTAGTAACATGGGGCCCGATTTCTCTCATTACCTTAAGAGGTGATTGCAGTAAGAGTGCAATCTTACCATTTAATGGCAAGAGCAAATCCTTGTAATTAAAAGCAGAATATAGCTCTGGACCCACCTCCGTTATAAGTGTCTCAGACTACTAGTGGATTTATACGACACATGCTGTTAGAATAAGATTTTCACACGCAGGCAGCTCTAATTAAACACACATTTTATTGAAACGATAAAATGATGATGTGTGGGTCAATGACATTTGTTTAACTGCTAAATTAAATGATAAAACAATTAAAAGGTTAACCAGGTTCTGAAATTTGCCGCTGATTTTCCAGCGAAGCTTCAGCAAAAACTATACCACCCCAGTTGCCAACGAAATCACTAAAGTGAAAGAAAATGAAAAAAATTTATTTTCAACTTTTCTAGTTGTGATTATAAAGCTAATCAAAGAAATGGCCTTAAAGCCATTTCTAAGCAAGAAGGAATGAAAGCTGATGAGTAGTACTAGTCCTTGCTTGAGGTAAGATAAAGAGGAAATAGTACACTGGTACAATGTTTGCAGATAACTGCAGGCAAACCTAACTTGTTATTTAAAATAACTTACTCATTTAATATTTTATTCGGACCACAGTGAATATAATTAAAATGTTCGTTATCAATGCACTGCCACAACTGCAAGTTGCCATTCATTCGCAATGCACATTTATCAAGTCGTTCTTCAAAACCAAAACATTCCCTAGGCTCCATGTAAAATTCTAATACTCGAATTTTCGGGTTGTAATCCCATCGAGGAGTTAGCCAATGGTACACGTTATGGTGATTTAGACCCAACTGGTGACAAACAACCTACAATATAGGCTTTTAAAATTCAATTTAAAATTCAAAATAAAGAAAATAATCCTCGAAATCGAAACAAACTAATGATGAAATTCTTTGATTCTTAAAATCATATTTTATAACATTTTAGACCAAATCCCATGATCTTTGCGATTGCGAACATTTTCCACATAAAATTAAATACAATTTTTTTTCTTAAATTCTGCTTAAGAGGTGGAAGAGTAATCTTGCTCAAACTATCTATATTGGCGAATTATAAGTAAAACTCTAATGTCAATAAAGCAAAAATTAAATGAAGTAATGTAGACTTAACAAACCTGCTAAAATTATTACCTGAGCATTGCGTAAGGTGAACTCCCGATCACAGGATGGAACATAGCGCCCCGAAGTTGCATTATAGATTTCTAAGAATCCGGAAGAAGGACTAGAGCCATTCAATCGAACATCAAACTTTTGATAATATGGGTAATCTCGATATATAAATTGCTGATATAAAATATCGCGTCCAGTCCTACAAAGATTACTTTACTATTAAAAATAATGAACTGAACTATCGGAAACTTGTTTCGTGCCAATGGATAAGAAATTACAGAAACTACAAAAAAACTTAACGATTTGTTTCACCGAAAAAGTAATGAGGAAAAATTCAACTTTTATAAATTTTATGAAATGATAAAAATATATATCAGTACCAAGGATCCCGACGCTTCTGTTTTATTCGAGAAGCGATTTGATTTATCTCACTTTCGCGACTGGATAAAATAATCGATCGCTTATAACGCGCAATATGCAGTCCACGAATCTCTTCGTATTCAGTAACGTTGATAGGCTTAAATCTAATTGGTTGCCAAAAAGTACCATCTGCTATCAAATTACCTAGTACAAGGATCCTGACATTCGGCCAAATATGAACCTAAATTTTATAACTAATCCACTTTTCACGCTTGAATTAATCAGAGATGAAATAAATAAAGTAAGAAAAATTTTGAATTATCTTTTCGATTAAACAAAATTAAATCAAGAAATTTTACCAATAAATTTGGATAAATTTGTCCATAAAAATATATATATAATTATAATCAAAATTATAATAAAAAAAAAGGGTGTTCGGTGAAACGAAAACATCACTAACTTCTACACCTTTCTCGATAGTTAGTGTGGCACCTGGCATAATCGTTAAATCCTTTATTATTCGATATGGTCGATAAGGCTTATAATAGAATGGAAATTGATGCCATTTTTCGCGATTCAATTTAAGGGTTTTCGACTCATACATGCGTCCTTGGAGGTCATGCACAGACGGTTCAGTATAAGATGAAGTAGCAAGTTGACCCTAAATACTTTAACCATTTAAAAAAGAATAGAGAGATAAATCGATAAAAAAATAAATTTTTGGTAATACTTACAATCGCTGGATTCCACCAGAAATTTATGAACAGTTCTTCAGACGTATAATACGGACTGAAATCGGCAATTGTAAAAATATTCCAATCATCAAAATCGAAGATTCGTTGCGATATTTCCACATCATTTACCATACCCCACCAATTATGAGTGACATTCATGCGTTCTGTTACTTCTGTCGTCTACAAAAAAATTCTAACTTTCCGTTTATTCTTAGAAAACAATAACCAAGAAAACCTTCATAATGAACAAGTTCTCAAGAAGTCAATTCGATGATACATCAAATATTATTGAAAAATAGAAAAATAAAAACGAAAAAAGAAGTTTCTTCATATCTTAACGAACCTACGTATGCTTAGAAAGATAGTAATAAACACTAACCTTACATCCAGAAACAAGTTCAAAATCAAGAAGAACATTTCTGAACCGATTAAAATGCACATCAGCAAGCTGAGTTCCAAATACACCAACTGCAAAGGAACGTGGCCACATAATGACGTAATCATCGATGGTTCGAATAAAATGATTTTTCAGAAAATAATTATACTGGATGAAGGCCTTTATATTCGAACGTTGTGTCTGTGATAGCGTTTTTAATTTTAACATCCAATGCCCCTAAAAATGTTTAAATGTTTAATGTTTAAATGTTTAATGTTTAAATATTTAATGTTTAAAAAAATGTTTAAATGTTTAATCGAGTATTATTTCTTATCTGCTGGATGAACTGTGTTGTGCTGCCATTAAAGAAGAGATCATTATTTCAATTAATCTACAACTTACCCAATTCGATTCGAAGCGATTTCTTTCAAAGATGATGCTTTTTTCCATCCCAACGAGTTCAACTATACCACTATTCCCTGCAGCATAGTTATTGGTGAAATTATTCGATGAAATATTCACGAATGCGTAAAAGCCATTTAATTGAAGCGCAAAATTCAAATTATTCAAGAATCTATTTTCTGTAACCTGGAATATATTTTGTTGAAATTCATATGAAATTCAATTCACATTTTGATCTCTGCAAAATAAAGTTGAAACTGGCGTCGGTTTTTAAAAGGCAAAGTGAGTTCATGAAAGTACTACCTGAATGGATCAAAATTTGGAGAATACTTAATCCGAAAACTGACCACAAAAGAATGAGTAATGGGAGACAGCAAATCATAAGTGTCAGGCAAATGAATTAATATTCCACCATTTTCATTGTTTTCGAAAGTGTTTGACCAAAAGTTCCAAGAAAAAACATTCGCACTGCTATACAAATCTCTGTGAGTCTCAATCAGTGGCCCAGTATTATCACTTAATGAACAGTTATCAATATGATAATTGATCTGAAAAGTTTCTATAAAAAGTTTCGGTCCATAGAAAATCTGAAAAAACTGGATAATAATGAATAGTACCTTTGCGATAGGAGTATCATTCATAACAACATGCTGAGGCGAATGAATCCATAAAATACTCGCTTTACTATTGGTGAAATTAACTTTCTGAAACCAAAGTTTTTCATTAGACCATCGATTGAGTATTGATCCATCAGGTGAAACAAAATTCGAATAATGACTGGAAGCGACGCCATACTGATTACCACTGATAACTGATTGATGGATATGAATAAATCGGTCAACATATTCTTGCGCTGAAAAAAATAAATATTAAAAAATGCTCACGTTGAAAAAAAATACCATAAAATGAAGGAAAACTGGCAAAGAAATGAAAACGGTTCTACATCAAGTACCTTTATTCACTAATAACATTTATACGCATTTTCAGTACCGAATACAAACTTTTAGCATAAAATAAGAAAAGAAACCAATGAAGCTGCAAAAAATTAACGCTAAAAACAAGAATAAAAGAAAGGCTTGAAATGTACCATCAAGAAAAAGTATCAATACGATGATTTGTGGGATACCATATGTTCTGGTGTATATCAGCTTCAGTTCATTAATAGAAGATATTATTGGAAAATGTATTATGTCATTACGAACACTCCATTCTTTTCTTGCACTTTCATCAATAAAAATCATATCTTCATCGCTTAGTATACTGGCTCTATTGATTACCTTAATTATACGATCAGTTTAATTGTTCATCATAATACAGCTCCAATTTCCGCGACATAAATACTTTAATAACATAATGCAAAATTCTTTTTAAAAAAAAGGCAATAAAAATTCCTTGTCTTTTATAAAGGTGAAACTATAATAAAACTATCTGTAGCGTTCTGAAAAAGGGAATGAAATTACCTAAATCGGGGAGAGACGGCAAAATTACTTGTCACTTACCATCTGACGATTATCTAATATGAAAATCCTTTACCTGATAAACATATTAAATGCTTAAAAAGTACCTGCACAATAATTTTGGAACTAAAACCATATTCAAAACCAGCTGCTTTTAAATTTAATTCGTATTTGCAAGGATCAAGAAGATCTGCAATCATATTTATCAATTTTATCATTTTAATCCTCGAAATCATTGAATAATTTACCTAATTCACGAAAAACGAATCATAAAAAAACTTGAAAAGCTTTTTGTTATACTAATAATTTAAAAATCATAAACTCTAAAGAGAGGGCTGTAACTTATGTAATGTGAGGCAATTCTGAAAGACCAAAAATACTAATTTTTTTTGCTGTTGTATAATTATTTACTGTTTTTGAATAAAATTTTGAAATAAACAGTGAAAATGAGCTTCCTTAAGGGAAAAATAAATCACAACCAACGTAAAGGACAATCACTGGTAGTTTTTGCAACAAGAAAATTCCGTTGATTAAGTTGCGACTCATGGACTGAAAGCGAGACTAGCTTATTATTTGGAATGAAGAAAATATTGTTAGCTTCCATTTCAGCCAATTCTTTCTTTTCGAGCCATGTAACAATATCACGCTGTAGTGCATGCGATACATGCGGTTTATATCGAAATCCCGCGTAACCATTGTTTTTTATGGCTACCTTAAATATTAGAAAAGTGAGTTAATAAAAACAATAATGCTGAAAAATGATGAAATTAACAATATTATAACAACTAAGAAACATTTTCAATGGTGATGCCAACTGATCGTATTTTAACTCCATGACGACGATTATTCTCGAAAAGACTATTCCTTATAGCCGGCTTTCTCGTTAAATCATTGTAAATTATATCGATACCAGTCCAAAAATTATCCCTGATCGTGATATCATGAAAACTATGATAATTCCAGTCGATTTGAAGCGCGGCACTGAATTTAGGAATTCTAAAGTCGTACAGACCAGCCTTTTCAATGATCCACGTATGCATTGAAGTTTGACCAGTTAGTGCCGGAGGATTCGCCAATAAAGAGTAATGGACACCAGCCCATCGAGGCTCTGAACAACGAATACCTAAATATAATGTGCATTTTTCAAAGCATAGAATCCATTACTATAAGCCAAACTTATATAAATTCACAGTTTAAAGATTAAAAATTCCGAAATAGAAAGAAATAAATCGTAACCAAATGGTTTTCATACCAAAATAAATATAAATATGTTTGCTTAATTGAAGCAAATATGATCCAAGGAAAATAAAGAGCAGTTTCGCAAATACTATACTTTATGAGCTTTTGATGCATTCATTACTTACCCACAACTTGCGAAGCAGCGCAAGAAGATGCAATATTATGTTCAACTCCGTCATGCCGACATTTTGTAATGTCATACTCTTTCTCCTCACATCTGATGATATCCATCACCATTGGAAGACTTCCTTTTGAAGGAAATATTCGCCAATTTTCAAAATGCTCATCATCCATAATAAGACCGAGTTGATGACAAGCAAGAAGTGCCTGTTGTTTCGTCCAACTTCGGTTACAAACTGTCCCCCACTGGTCATTAACTAGGACTTCCAACCGGCCAGCAGTTACCTATAATTTAATTCTCTAACACAAATTAAACCGCAATGTCATTGAAATAATGTTTAAATAGAACGATTCTTTTTCTATGTAATCTTCCACAGCAACTCCATGTTTAGGTGATTTATAGTATTCATTTCGGTAAAAAACTAATTTTGGAAGAAAAAAGTATAATTGGCCCAAAGAAACAATTTAAAAGAAAAACAACAAGCGAAAATAATGAATTCTACCTCTGAATTATCATTCTCATCAACAAGTCGAATTTGTTGTAGTTTTGGTAACTGGAACGGTCGGCTAGTGAATATTACTGGTCCATCTGACCCATGCATGTCAGTTCGAATAAGTTCTCCCTTAAACAGCGCAAAATTAATCAACTCTTGAATAAAACGCATATTTATTTACAGTATTCATACTTACAGTAAACGAGGATTTTAATAAGATGGAAAATCACCTGAATTAGCATTCCAACTCCATTGCTGAATTCCAAAACAGTGCCCGGTGAAACAGTTAATCTTGCACCTGGCACAACATTAAGGTCATCGTTAATCATATATCGACCAGGAATTAAATCCTGGTTTTCCCAAATGGTACCTCCCAAGATATAGGGTTCTGTATCTTTTCTAAACATACGATAATACTGTTGCACCAGGGTGATGTGTGGTTTGCGATGGTTACAAACAGCTGCGAATGGGTTTATCTAAATTAAAATAAATTAAATTATTAAATTAAATTAAATTAAAATAAGATAGTAATTATGCCAGCATAATAATAATATTTAAGTAATAACATCTGGAACTCGTCAGCAAAAATCTAAAATTTTTTTATTAGAACACATATATTTCACTTATGTGTCTTGCTTCCGAAAATTTTGCATCATTATTTTGGCATTCAAATCAAATTACCTCAACTGAAGCAAGAGAATAACGATTAAACTGGTCAAAAATTCGTTGCATAAACATCTCAGGTCGAGGATATCCCCAATTATTTTCTCGTGCATCGATCAATTTTGCGTGTTCACTGAGTTCAGTGGCGATTTCGAAAGCTGCTCGTGGATTTTTGAAACAATTACGACGAACGATAACATTACTTAAAAATGAGATTTTGTCCACAAATGCTTTAAAACATTTTTGCAACACAAGTGAACAAATGCAAGATGTAAAAATATTAACCTCCCAATACAACAAGCTTGCTTTTTTTTCTAAAAGCTTTCACATTCCCTAATTAATCATCATCCACTGACTTGTCGGATCAGACAAATTTTGCCAAAATCACTTAGAAACACAAAATACAGAAAGTGAATATGATAGTTCCAAAAAGCGCTACAGCAGATGCCAAGGGAAAAAGTATTAAAGAAGTAATTACAACGCAGTTTGAAAGAATAATAGGGAGGTACAAAATTGGTGATAAAAGAACATAACACAACTTGGAATAACTATTTAGAGAGTAAAACGCTGTTTCAAAACGAGCACAGTAAGGGTCAAGATTAGTCAAGATTTCTCATTTTTTTACCAGCATTTCCCTATCCGGTAGCGAAATTTGAGATCTTAGGGAGAAATATAATGGAATCTAATAGGATTTTGAAGAAATACAACGGATTGTGAAAAGGAAACGAAAAGTTTGGACGGCTTTTACAGTACCATATCGGGAAATATCATTATATAATCGAAGAAATTCACATGAGAAATTCAAAAAGTTGATTTAAAAAATGGATAAAAAGACGAGCCTACTGGAGATGACAAGAGCAGCATAAGGTGTTGAACGAGGGTTTAAATATGGAAACGGATTAATAACACCATTTTCCCGAACTTCATTCTGTTGACTGAACAACATTTTCTGCTTCGGAGCGTTCTCATTGAGTCCAATCGACACAATACTTTGTCCTACATTGAATTTGAACGAGTTTTTTAAAATTGTTACCTAAAATTGCAAGTAATTTTGTCTCTTATATTTTAAATTTGTCTCTTATATCTTAAATTTTACTTCTTTTCAAAATAAAATTTCCTAGTTCAAAAGGGAATAAAAAAGAACCTCCGATGGCAAATGAACAAGTTGTGGGTGAGCTGAGTTTTTGATAAGCAAAGCTGTATTGTTATTGCTCAGAAATTGATTATTACTAATAACTGCAATCGTGTTAACAGCTGGTTCCATGCGAAATCCTATACCAGTTCCACCCTCGATACGATTTCCACTAATATCAAGTAAAACACTGCTCATTCCATCGCTTTGGCATGAATGAACTTCAATAGAAGGATGGTATTCATTAGCTATCAATTCTACCCAGTTAACAATTATCTGAAATTCAGTCATCAACAGATATCTGGAATTTTAAAAAATTTAAAGCGTAACATCAGTTGAAAAATATTACGCTACCTTGGGTTGTATCTTTTGATGTAAAGGAGCGCAAAAGTTTCCGAACAGGATTCCACCCCATTTGTTACCGATAATTAGCGTCCGAAGATAGAAAATGTTGTTTAAAGGTCGTCCTTTAAAAATAACTTCCTGTCGTAGTGCGTAAAAAGGAGCAGTTGTATTTTGATGGAAGGCACAACCTGAAATTAATTTTGCTTCAGAAAAAGGAGATAATTTTAAATGAAGATCAAATATCTCGGTTTTATTTAGTCAAAATCAAATGGAAGCAAATGAAATCTTAAGCAGACCTCTCCATCTATTATTTATTACAGAAGTTCCATTTACGTTAATTGAACCGCCAACATAAGAAATATTTAATCCATCACCCCAGTTGCTTTCTATGCGTGAGGCGTTAATCCATATATCTGCAGCGCCACCTTTCACCAACAAACCAGCTATACCTTCATTCTCAATGATTGAAACATTAGTTAAAGCCGTCCGTTCACGAATATCCATAGCTCTAATACCATTTCCAGTGTTATTTGCTATTAGAGAATTTGTTATATTTAAGCCATAAATAGCTTTTCCTGGAAATTAGAAAAGAATTAAATTAAATTAATTCATTACTAAAAGCAAACAACTGATATCATGAATTTGAATTAGTTAACCATTAGCATTTAGCATCTCTAGTTATGCTCACCCAGTTGACTACTACAACGAGATACGATAAGACCAGAGAACCACTCGGCACTAGCATCACGGGTGCACATCCCGCAATATCCGGATTTTCTTATCAATATCCAGGCTTATCCTAGCAGGAAAATGGTGCTTGAAATGATAATTTATATATGACTCAACCATGTTGCCTCTATGGGAAGCACCAAATCATATTTCTAACCTCATCGAAAACGATAAAAATATAAACACTTTTTGCCTGAAGATAAAGAGACATATACCAGGCACAGAAGCGTGAACATTAAATAATATATTGATATCACCAAGAATTCGTTCGATCGAACCAGATTTTTTATGTTCAAGAATGATCAAAATCGGATGGCCTGAATTTCTAAAATGTTTTTTGAATAAACTCTAGAGCATCAAAACACCAAAAATTAATGGTATTTTAATTATTCACATTGAATTAAACTTGAAATACACAAAAGTTAACCTTATAGAAAGGCTTTGTGGAAAAACACCATTAATTATTGGCAATCTAAAGCGTTCATTGAGGCAACTCTGAGAATCTGCATTCGCATCACAGACAAGTAAATGCGTTTTGATTTCTTGTGAAGAACTATCATAATTTTCAATATTTAAAAACTGCAACGTGTAAGTATATTTTAATCGAGGAGGCAGATCGATTATCTAAAAATTGCCTTGTTATGAACTAAACAATAAGACTAAAATAAAGTTCAGTTTAAGAATCAGATTACGGAATAACACTTTGTGATTGATAATAAAAAAAAAAGTGGTCAGATGTGCCAAAAACACAATCACTCACTCGTTGTTAAATTAAATTATATTAACGGTAGAAAACTTCAGCGCTACCAAAACAGATAAATAGAAATGTTAAAAACTCATCCTATAGTGACATCAACAGGACTCGAAACTGCAAACTGTCATTTGGTGAATCGAATTTCGAAATTTTCAAAAGTATTAAGAAAAAACCTATTTAACACCTATTTACCTGTAGCTTATAAGTTTCAAGGATGTTTGAAGAATTGTAGAAAGAAGTAAAATAATGTCTGACAAAAAGTCAAGAAAGTCAGGGAAATATATGAATAGTTTAACCGATTCTGAAAAGAATTTATGATCTAACTCCTATGTTTAAAATATACATTTGCGTTTATATTCTATCTAAGATGCTAAACTTTTCCAGTTCTGCAGAGTGAAATCAGCTAAATATTTAACAGAATGTGAGAAACAAGTTAAATGATACCATCCAACAAGGTGAAGGAATATTCGGTTCAAGAATAGTTCCATTTGGAAGATATGCTTCAACCAGATGAGGAAAAAAGTATGAATCATAAATTTTATGGCTAGTGCACATTTCAAGCCTTGGCTTTTGCTGTTCATAGTAAAAAATCTGCTTTTTCTCTAATCCTAGAATATAGAATAATCTGTAAAATAAATTCTTCAAAAATCTATAAAAAACAAGTGCAGTATGTAAATTTCGCATTTGTTTCATCGTTGTCAGAGAATATTTAAATTGGTATCTTAATGGCACCAACATATGAATAAATAGGGAAACCTTACAAGCACTCAAGATAATTTTTGAACCACCAATATCAAATATTATCAACTATTGTTGTATCTGTGGATTAAAATGTGGAGGAATTAAGCGTATATAAAAAATTTACGATATTTGCTCATTAGAAAGAGTTCATGGGCTTTTTGCTGGTAATAAACCCCATCACCGTAGTTATTTTCCAATACTGTATTGTTAATAAATACACGACCATCAGTTGTATTGACCACTGCGATTCCATGGCCTCTGAACACATTATAATTATACATAAAGGTAAAAATAAAAGTGTGACAAAAATTTACCAATTTTAAGAACGAAAAATTAGAAAGCATGCAACAGAGCGAAATATCGACAAAAAATCATCTTAAAAACATATTAAATCACAGAAAATATAAAGAGAATATCTTTAGCAAGAATTATTTAATTAACTTTAGACAACAAAAAAAGCAAAAGAACGAAACCTATTATGGACGATGGTCGAATTGGCTATTAATACTGGTCCAGACGTTTCATATATATGAACACCATCTTGAGCACTGTATTTTACGCTTAAGCCATTCAAAATTGGTGCAACTCCTTCAATCTGGAGCGCGGCAGTAACGTTTTTTGAAGCACTTTAAAACAATCGTCTTCAATAATATTTTGAAAGTGAGGCAACGATCAGAATAATATAGTTTTTGGCATAAACTCTAAGCAAGATGGAAGAAATTTTGAATATATCAAGAAAACGGAGCATATGTTATTTTAGACAAAAATCACACCCATATATTTAGGCAGAATAAATTTTTTTCTCAATGGTCCCTCATCTTATATTAAGTGAACTTACCCGTCATAGCCAGCATAGAATATATCGACATATTCAAGTCGGCTTAACGATTCTTTATGAACGGAAACCATATCCGGGTCGGAATAAACGAATTCAAAAGGAGAGTTTAAAATCTGTATCCCTAAAAATTTTAAAAATGAATCTATTTAAATGAATCCCTTTCGGCACTTTGCTTTATTCATTGCACGTACACATAACATAAAACAACAATTAATATAGTAAGCCAAAAGTAAAGGTAATCTTTCTCTAAAATAAGATTTTAAAATCTTTTGCCAATTTTTGGGAAAAACCACAGCAAATCTCGATAAAAAAATAATAAGCTAGCTTTACAGAAAAAAACCATCACCTTTCCAATGCCTAAACCAGCCATTAAAAATTGGGGGTCCCCAGCAGTACATTCCAACATCATCTTCACCTTGACAGAGATTCTCACTTAATTGAATAGTGCCCGAATTAACAAATCCACCACAATCCCACAGGGATTTTGCACCAGGAAAACACATCGGTTGAGGCATAACAAATGGATAAGTATCGTTGTTTCGATTATACCATTTCCAGAAGCCTAAATATGGATATTTTGGGAGCTTTTCATAGTATTTATTATATTAATTATTTCATTATGTTTGCATATTTTTTGGTTAATATTTTTAATTTTTTAGAGATCTAAAAAAGATTTGAGAAACCTCCATTTGAGTATCCGATCGACCGGCATGCAGCGATAAAATCAACCGCAGTCCAACTGAAATATCACCCTTCGTCCTTTATAAAAATCATGCTTTACAAAAATTTTGAATTCATATAATAATCTGATAAAGAAATTTTATATATTGACTAAATTTGTACTGAAAATATTGCCAGAGCGATGAAGATTTCTAAAATTTTACAGTGATAATGAAGATGGACGCATTCTAATGCAGTCAATTAGTATAATAATAAATCACAGTAGTATAATAAATCAGATAACTGAAAATAAGAATGGTTGACGCTGATATATAAATGTAGAAGTTACTTTGTCAACATCGTACAAACAGATCTCCAACGATCACGAAATTTCACTTGAAGTCTTCCTTGCCGTACTGATGGCCCATCAATTAACCGAAATTGTGGGAATTGATCATCGTAAGCAAGTGTTTCTTGATAGGGAAGCATTTGGATACGTGCGAACTCACTACCCTGAAAATCACAATATTCAGCACAAACTTTTTAGAAATACTCCTTATGATTATTTAATTTATAATGCTTTCATATATACAGGTAGAAATCTTGTCCAATGTAGTTTATTGGTACACCAATCAATAAATGGTTGTTAGAGGGGTGTGTTGCCTCATATGGGAGGTACATTTAGTAGCTCTTAAAGAAAGTAATGACTCATAAACCGCTTTTTTCAGATGATTCTCTATTGAGAAGGCATTATCACGTCAGATACGCGGTGTATCCGCAAATTACCAAAACCCAATGCGGCCTCGCGATAAAACTAACCTTGAAATCCAAATTCCCAGATAATGAAAACTTTTCTTCCCAAATACCGTAGAAATGAATAGCGAAGGAATTTTAGCCAACTTTAAGAAAAATACTTCCATATTATTATTCTTCTTCTAACGCTGCCCACTGTCTGAACTGATTTGGATAGAGTTGTTCAGAATTTTGGAGAAAAATGTTGCTATATGAGGAGAAGACGATAAATTGTTAGCGACTAGCAATTCTGATGAAGCTAACTTCGCCCAATCACCGAGTGAAGAATGTTTAGAATTCTGTATGTTTAGAAATTTTTGCAGTTTGCGCAATATTTCGCTTACGGTGGTCATGAGTAGCAATCGAGTGGCTGATGCTCGGAGGAGCGAAATAACGATTCGGCAGCCGACTCCTTAGCCCCAAAGACAATAACTCTCTACACTTGAATAAAGGCGTAATTAATCATTTTTGTTAGAATTCGTTTCTCCGAAGAAAATAAACGAGCGCATAACTTATGGTAGCAAATATCTACAAAATTAGAACACTTACAACTGCTTTTATAGTTCCTTTGATTTTAAGGCCAACACCAGTATCGAAATGAATTTGCACGCCAGTTTCGATAGTGAGTGTTGCTCTCTTCTCAACGATTACATCACTCCGAACGCGATAAGGAGAGTTACGAAAAAACAGTGTTATATTATTCGTGTAGACACCACCAATGAGGTTCTTAACTTCCTCATTGGACTGACTTTCACCTTTGACCTTATAATAATTTATGTATAGAAAACTGACTGCGGTGACAACGTAAACGAATATGAACAGCATGAATAGCACTTTGCGTCCAGCACAAATAATGAGAGCATCCACTGCTTTCAACACAAAACGTTTGTTCTTCTCAAGTGAATCATTCGTATCGATTAACGACGAAGGTACGATAAGGTTGTCACAGTACAAAATTTTTCGTCATTTATGTTTTGCATCAGCTGACCACCGAATGACCTTAGCACCAACGACTTCAGCGCGGCGTATGATCGCACTGTTGTTCTCTTCGTTTGGCAGAAATAATTCTCTTAAATTCTCTCTTTTACGCTCTTCTTACCTTTATTATTTATTCACAGAATTTTATAATATAAACAAATGAATCAATCAACAAATAAATAAACGATGCTTTATGTTTCCTTTATATATATGTAAACATATAACATATAATTCCTCAGCGAATGCCTCTACTTTTTTAGCGGAGTCCTTCGACAAGGACCCTCTGAAAGAGAGTGTCGAATGCGAGAGCCATGCCGACTCGGACGTAGCACGGATTAACAAGGTCCGTCAACGCCTCAACATAGGAGAAAGGAAGCAGATAATATACTTTGAAGATGTAAATAGAGTCCTCGCAACAATTCTACTGCCTCTATAACAGAAACCAATGAACTGGGGTACGCCACAGCCACTGTAATCCTGGGAAGTGCTCTGCTGGAATATAAAGTCAAGAAGAACAACAATGCACATCGCCCTTCGAAAAGGAGGCTGGAAAATAAGATCAGAGTATAATGCAGAGAAGTTAGCCAGCTGATTACAGAAAGGTTTGAAGATTAAGAACAATATCCGAACTCTATTAGAAGCCCTCGAGACTCCTAAATAAAGACTCATTATTAGTTATAAAGAAAATACACTAGAGAAGTAGAAGCTAAAGAGATAAATTCCTTGTTTTACAAAGAACTCTCAACTGCAGTGCAATAAATATGACAACAACAGAACCATCAGCAGCAAAAAACAATATTAAACAAACAATAATAAAAACAATAATACAATATATGGAGGAAAAAATATATAGAATATATGAAGGAAAAAGAAGATCCATAATATTAGTACAAAATATGGCTGCAAGACCAGAGAACAGAGTCATAGCAACTACCCACAATAGGAACCAGTTACAGTTATCAATTACAGCTATCAGAATTATCCAACAACGACACAAAAATATAAAAAGCTGAATAATATCTGATCCAGACCTGACCCACACCTACAGCGATTCATAAGCGCATAGCATCACAGCTACTTGTGGCAAACTTTCATCCAGATTACTTAATACATGGAACAATGTATGGACCACGGACCATGGGAAGGCTCATAAAAGAACATCCAAAATCTGCCCCTCCACAATGTGGAAAATTCTGTCAGACATCATAACTATCAAGCTTTATGATCATATGAGCCAGTGCATGAGTAAAGGAAATAAAGGCATAAGAAATAATGCCAGAGCATCCAAACACTAGCAGCTCATAGATAAGGTAGTCACTAAACATTTAAAATTCCTACAGACCAATCTATGCACAGTTTGGATTGACAATACGAAAACCTATAACTCAATGTCCTACATACACATTTGTGAATGTCTGGCTCTAAACAAAGTCAAAAGGATTCCGTCACTGAGAACTCATTGGAACCGTGAAAGTGGAAAATACCACTTGGAATTAAAACATCTTGCACAAGAGGCTATAAAGTGCGACATATATCAAGATGATGCATAGTTCACGTACTCTTCTGCATTGGTCTAAATCTAAACCAGCCAGATAATCACAAAAAGTGGGTATGGTTACAAGTTCAAGAGTGGAACTATCATCAGCCATCTTCTTTACATGGATGGTTGAAATATCAAACTATATGCCGAAAGCAAACGAGATACTGACTCGCTCATTCACACGCGAATCTATAGCGATGACACTGGGATGTTATTAGGGTTGCAGAAATATAGCCGGATTGTAGTAAGAGAGGAAGATTAGTAATGACGTGATATGAGCTGGTTATCAGGATATATAGCAAACATACATACTAGCTATAAGTACCTGGCTATCCCAGAGTCACATGGTAACCACGATGAGGAGGCAAGGAAGACTACACCATCTAAATATCACCAAAGAATAAGGCAAATCCTGAAGAGCTAGCTCAATGGTAAGAACAAAATCCATGCCATAAACATGTAGGCCCTAATAGTCATTGGATATGCAGTTGGCATGGACAAAGGAAGATATGAAGGCTGCTGATGTGAAGACCTGGAAAATACTCACAATGCACGGAAATTTCCACCACAAGTCTAACACCCAAAAAATTCTCACCAACTGGAATGAAGCCTTGTGAAATGGTGCAGCTTGATGAACCCGAAGCATTTAAGAATACTTCAGAAATATAGTAAAAAATATGAGTTGCTGGAATCTATAAACATTTGGAAGCCCAAGTGGTATTTGAACGAAGATCATGTAATATCTTATCTGCTCGATAGACCCGTAAAATGCAGATAACTTCTTGATATCCTCCACTCTCACTGATCAGATATTCACGTTAAAAAGGATGTTGGAATATCGCTTCAAATATCTGCAACCCACCGTTACGTGTTTCATTAACTTTGCAGCTGCCTTCGATTCAATTTCGGCGCTTTGGATGGTGATGGAACGCTGTATTCCAGAGATCTATATATGGGGAACTGTTCCTTCGAAATAAGAACTGGTGTCCATTAAGGGACTGGATAACGGACACAGCTTGTCGGAACTCAAGAGGTATCCAAATCAGTCCAGAGCATCATATCACTGATCTTGAATACGCTGATAATATAGTCCTTTTAAAATTCCTCTTTTTGTAAATTCATTGCCGACTGAGGAAATATACCCAATTTTAAATACCTTGGGTCCACTGTAATACCAAATGGCCAGGCAAAAGCCGATATTACAACCAGATTACGGTAGCCCTTCCGGTTGACGAAACCTTTATGGAGCCGTCGTGAAATTACCATGAAAACGAAAGTCCGCATCTATATAGCCGTGATTCACTCGACCTTACTATATATGGCTCCAAAACATGGCCAAGGAGAGTGGAAACTATCAACCTTTGGCAGTTCATACATTTTATGGGTTCGCTGAACGGATAAAATCTCATGATCACATGATCACATCTACCTTCCTTCAAATACCACTACCACCATGCATTAACAGTACCATCACAGATCGTCGCCCTCCCTCGTTAGGGCACGTTCTCCGTCGCCCAGCACAAAAGTTGACATATTCGTTATTTGCTAAACCCAGTGATGGATGCGTTAAAAAGTGAGGTTGATCAATCAAGACCTTGACTGACACGGTCAGAAAAAATTTTGAATGTATCGGTGGATCTGCAATATATGGACTTAGACGATGGAAAATGAATGGCTTCTATTAATTTCGACGATGGTATCAGACCGCGATGCGTGGAAATGTCTTACCTTTGTAACCAGCTTAACCAGCAATGTTTAGAGCTGTTAGAAGTATTCGTGTATTTGTGATATTTCGGTTTATGAGCATTAGTAGGAAGTTTGCAATTTTTATATTTTCAAAGATAACGCAAAGTAAATCCGAGTTCGAAATCACTATGGAATGAAACCGGCAACGACCCAATTTTCTAGCCAAGCATATGTGTGTGATTTTGGCGAATATGACATTTTATACAAAGTAATAACTTTTTTGAATCGCTAACAATCTTTTTTCCATATTTATTTATTTCTTTTTCTGCAGATGCCAAAAATTGTAAAATAGACACTTAGATGCGCATTCGCTCTGAACCATTCATTTCTTATGAAATCTTATTGAACGTGGAGTAGGTTGGAACAAATTTATTGAGAAAAATTGTTTAAAAGTTTAAAATATTAAACTTTCGTAAAGTTTTAATAAATTAAAATTTTAATAAATGAATAGTAATTAATAAATTTTAATTTTAAATGCTCTGCAAAGATATATGTTAAAGCTAATCTGAAAAAAATGGTATATGTTTGTTTTTATGCATAGATGGTACACACTTACGACAGACGTTAGCGAAAAATGGTACATTTATATATTATATATTATTTTTGTGAGTTGCCAGGTGATTGTACCAGATATCGAAGAGAATATTCTAATTAAAACAGTAGTAGTACAATACAGTAATTTTACAATTTTTAATTTTAAACGGACAGCTATATTACAACGCTGGATTGCGATGATTGCGATTGCCATGAGACCTCACTCTCCCCTCACTTTTAGCCAAAAGTGTTGATTTTTTTTGTGGATTTCGTTTTCAATTCTAGCATTTGCTTTATATGAAAGATCTTCGAAAAATAAAATGCTCCTTCATGTTTGTGTTTTAACAACCAATAGGAAATATTCAACGCCCTTAATCATAAACAATTATAACCTTAACACTGTCTAGGAAGCTTTGAACCCATACTTCAATTTTGTTTTTCACAATATGTCTTCACAAATCTAATCAAAGCAATCTTTCATTTCTTCGTTATTTATCCGTGATTTCGAATTGCATATGCAAATCGACTTTTCAACTTTTCAACTATTCACTCAAACTACTAACTAACTGATATGTCAATTTACAGGCAAAATTCATATTTGGGGCGCGCTTTGAACGCCACTTTAATAATAAATAATAAAGAGAAAAAAACCAATTCGTAAAAGACAAGGAAAGCTGAACTTTATGGAAATGCAAAACAGATGGGTCATTGATGCATCAAAAATGGTTAATACCTTCATTATACCTTTTTTTCTTGCGCTCTTTTCGTTGATACAGTTCCAGTATCATGCAAGATAAAAGAACTGTATTCTTAAAAAAATTCAGATAATTGAAAAAAATCGACAACGCAGTCAAGTCTCAAGTAAAACGGATGATATCTGATATATACTGCTAAAAACGTATGGATTTTCCTTCTAATAGCACTCACCATTTCTAATTTGACTGGCACCACTAACCATTAAAATGGAACTTATTGAACCACCTGAAAAATAAATGTTTATTGACCAGACATGTTATATATTCTCCAACTGTGTCCACGTATTTTGGCGCATATGGCATCCTAACTCGTCATAATCACATGCCATAAAATGCGAAAGTAGTAATAAAGATAAGGTCATGTTCTTGAACAAAGAAATAGGTCTAAATCAAAAAATCAGACGAACGTCAGTTCCATCTGTCAGGAATTGATGTATATCTCACTACATACCGAAACCGTGTATCGACTGGCACCAAAAGTGAGAAGGCTAAATAAAGATCTGAATCGTTATGGTCTAAAATAGATCTTGAACAAACAGACAGCCCAGCCATTTACGATGGAAAAGGAGTACCTTCAGTTAATTTCAAGTTATCAGATTAGAAGGCTAGCAAACATTAGAAATAGTGCGTGCTATCAGAAAATGATGTTCAAAATAACGAAATAAACGAAACATACTCGTGATTTCAAGAACCATAACTAACAGAAAAAATGACAATAATTGCAAATGACAATAATTATGTGCAGAAATGTTATAATCCCAAGTCGTTCTGCCTCTGATAGCAGTAAAAATGCTCAAGTCGACCATTTGGATGACGGACAAAGGCACTACAAATTGATGTTAAATATTTGCAGTCCAAAGGAAAAGATTTTGCAGTAAATAATGGAAAGTGACTGCTCGAAATATTTCCATTTCGATACCTGAATGTATGTTTTAAATGAAAATTAAAATTTCACCTGTTAGAAATTCTTTTATTGCAATACGTGCATTCTAAATCATATTCTACAATTATTTTTTGCCGGTGAGTTTCTGCTTGATGACGACAACAACTAATAAGAGCAGCTTCATATAATGATTTGTGCATCAGAACCTGAAAATAATAGAAATATACAAAAAAAAGTAATCGGTGCACAAAAGGCAAGACAATGAAAACAAAGTACATACTGATATCCTTCGATCATGAGTGGCTTGTAATACTGCCTCTAGTGCGCTCCAAACACTTCTTAGTGAAAAATCTTTTGGCACTAATGACATCGCTTCAACTGAAGTAAGAAATAAGTGGATGTAACCATAACCATTCAATAAATTGAAATTTCGCCCGTTATTTCAGTGAATGTTAAAATTTCAAAAAGATTGTGGTGGTGAAAAGGAGATGGTTGCTACAAGAAAAATTAAACAACAATTTAAAAATCTATTTGAATATATTTAAAAATCAAAACAAGGTTACTGGCAATTAAATATTCGAAATAATAAAACCAAAAGACCAATGATCCATACCAGTATCAATAGCACTGGCATAATTCTTTAACAATTTAACTGCTTCAATTTGATTTGGCTGTGTATGATAAAAGCCACGTTGTAATAAGCCAAGCACTGATGCATCTGGCGGATGAAGATACATCCTTAATGCAATCATATATACCTGAAAAAAACCGTCTGGAGTGCACAATCTTCAAAAGTCTTCAAAAATTGAGGACCCAAAAAACTGCTCGAAGCTTTCGCTAATGAAAGTAACTTCATTGATTGAAAAAAGTGAAGATTTACTTTGGAATTTTCAGGGTCTGAACGATTGTAATATAAATTACAATATTCTTCTACTGCTCTATAATCGTTTAATAGATTTGTATATATAGCAAGAGCTTGTTCATGTTTTCTGAGACGACCAAGTAAAATTGCTCGCTCTTCAAAAAGAGCTAAAAAATTTAAATATTCAAGAAATATCGTATATATTTAAAAAATGTACAAGTAACAGAAAAAAATGAGAAAAAAATTTACAATCATGACGTAGCTGAACAAGCAATTTTTCAGGGCTATAACTTATTGAAGAATGCAAAAAATGGTTTAGTTTCCGTCTGTACTCTCCAAGTTCACCTTTTTCTTCACCAGCTGGTGCGAATTCCTCATCTAAAATAAAACTGAAATGAGAGTAAAAATAAATAAAGTTGTAAGTTGAACGATTATTTCTAATGATTATGTAAACCAGTGAAAATATTAAAAAGCACCATCTCTTAGAACGTTGATATAGTCTCGAATAAGGGCTTTCACTTTCGCAATGTAATATTCACCAAGAATATTGTGAAATCGAGGCCTTTTTTCGTTCCACTTGTATATTATGTATTCCTGAAATATATAATTGAATCTTGATGAAGCGAAAAAATAGCCTATTTGATATTGTAATCGACTGAAAAATATAGTTTTCTATGATATATTATGAGCACACACCAACCAAATATGGAATAACTGCTTGGACACATTCACTAAGCAGGAATTGAACTACACTTTCACGATCCAAACCTCGACTATCTTCTTCTTCGCAAATAAATATCTGTAACGTGATATAAAAATATTATTTTTTCCATAAGAAACATTAATAATATTTCTCCACATGAAAAAAAGATTTGAAAAAGATTAAATAAATATTTCAAAAGAAATGAAATCAGGAAAAAATTTAGAAAACCTAGTAATATTAAAAGAAATTTGAAAGCGAAAAAAAAGAAAGACCGAAAAATAATCGTAAATTCCGAACCGATAATCCATCGTCGAAATTACTGTGCAAAACCCAAGGAGCGAAAGCGAAGATAATATCAATGTTCGAATTATTCAACCGCTGCAGATATTCAACTGTTAGTCGATGCCCACTCATAACAGTTCCAGAGATAAATGCTTGTTGCTTCAGCAATGACAAAGCTGTAGAATTTTATAGCGCCGAGTTAATAAAGTTAAACCACAACAAAAACTCCATTAAAAAAAAAATCCCATTTCGCGAAATAAAGCCCACGGTTCATTGATTTCACAACCATTTTTTATACATCATCACCTACTATATGAACTGAAAATAGCCTATTCATTTTCTCATACTAATTAATTAATTAATAATGACTGATTAATTAATTAATAAAGGACTACACATTATCAATTAGCTAGAATATAATCTACAGTTAAACTTACCAGATCAAGTAGGTTTTACTAAAGAAGCCCACTTAATTTGAAGCGAGATTAATAAGGAATATTGCAGCATTAATATCATGTTTAAAAGATGTAAACAGTAATCATACCTTTATGATGAAGTGCTTTTTTTTCATACAGCAAATATAATTCATAATATTTCTCGTATTCTATTAAAGCTGCTTCTGCATCACTCAGTATACACATATTATCAGGTAATCGCAAAAGTGGTACAATTAAGCTTTGATTAGTCTGTAAAACTAATTAATACAAGATAAAAGATGAAAATAATTGGCTTTTTTTTTCAAGAAAAAATAAACATCAACTTTAGTTCGAAACATTAGAGAATTTTCAAATATCAACACGAATGTAATAGTATTCACCAATTCTGATTTGATAAGCTCCACTGTCTAAGGATGAAACCCAGAAAATCCCAGAAAATCAGAAAAAAGGACGTATAAGCTCCCAGTACCATTTCACCGACGGATTTGACTTTTTAAATAAGATTTATTTTTCTTAAAAGATGGAGATTGAACCATGATAGTAAAATTATGATAGTCAAAGCAATAAATCAGCCGTGATAATCCAAACAATTATCGCCAAAAAATTTAAAAATTCTACTCACTTCAAGGTAACATTTTAACAATGTTGTGTCAACGACCTGTAGGACATTCTGATGGATTGTTAATTCATCATTCGCTAAAAAAGCTTTCGATTCAGATTTCTTATTCATTATGGCTTTTGCATGTTCCATCCTGACCTTAAAACATCCTGACTAAATCATTATGCAAATTGAATAACAAGAGAAGAGAAAATACTTTAAGCAAATTATCTCGTAAATGCAAAATTAAAATAAATTAAACTAACAGCGGCCAGATAAGGCGCTAGAGCTAGATAACCATTTTTATAATCACTTTCAGTGAAATCTGGAGGAGGATCGTCTAACAGAGATTGTAAGGGATCTCGAAAACTCTTGTCGAGGAGATGAGGAAAATGTGCGATTACAATCATTACATCTAAATATATTTAATTACCTCGCACAACGAAAGATGGATCTCACATGAATAAAATTTAGAAAAAAATTTTCATGTATTTTCCCAAACATAAAAAAAATCTTTTACGGCTTAATGAAAAAGAATCGATATCGAAAAGTATACCTGTCTTGATATCAGCGTGTATCTCTAACCACTCATCAAATCTTCGCTGGCAGAATAAACTAAAAGCTGCTTTCCTTTTGATTGCAATAACACCATTATCACTGATATCAGGGCAATGAACCTATTAAGACATAAAAGGAAATATCGAAAAATTACTGATTTAAAAAAATAATGGCAAATAAATATTGAATATTGTACTGAGAAAGATGAAGCGCTGAACTTTCTTATAAAATTTATAAAATTTTAATTCAAAAATCCCTATTTTCAAAATTTTTGAAAAAAATCTAAAAAATTGAGCATTAAAATCTGTTCGATTTTTGAAAAAAAAATCTCGAAATTATCGCATTTAATATTTTAATTCTTGCAACCGAAAAAAACCTTCCTCCAGTGAAAGAAATTTAAGGATCAGAGATTTGATGCATGATATTAATTTACCTCTAAGAGAATGTCAATACAAATTTAAAAAAAATTAATTTCTTACAGCGATCTGGATAGCCAATTCGTAATGTTTTTCAGAAACTAATCGCTCGACATTAACCTTCATATGTGAAAGAGATTCGAGTAACCATACGACACTACCACTTGCAACATAAATTGTCCCGCTGAAAACTCGAAAATTATTTATATATATATTATATAATTCATGTGTGTCAAATAATGACAGTTGATAACAAATTTCTGGAAATAAATAATAATTTTACTTGACTAATTTTTTGTCATTATTTACTTATTATTTCACTTATTTATTTAATATTTTTCAATTCAAATCCACTTTTAAGCAATATCCTTCAAGTTTGAAAGGCATTTTTTCCCTAAATAAACAGGATAAACAAAAATTCCTACGGAAGTCCAGTTGAAATAAAAGCAGCTTTCGAAATTTGTATCGTCTGAATGTGTACTGAAGGGCGCACAGATCGAATTTCGATTTTGCCTTTACTTAAGAGCGAAACCAAATATGGTGCATCATAGACTAAAAAAGGAAACAGATGAAATTAAACAAGAAGAAAATAAATGGTGTTGAGGGAACTAAATTTAATAAAAAATGTGCCACAAAGAAATCATATTACATAAAATAATTTAATTTCTATAAAAAGCAGAACAAAACCTATTTGAAGCGGTATATCACTCAATTTTACTTCAGGAGTGTAGTTAATATTGCCAAAATGGTCGAGAAAAAAAAGCAAATTATCGCGACAGAAAGCAATCAGCTTACGATTGTTCATACCAATTATCAATGGATTATCGCTTTTTGTACCAACATCAAACAATTTATCAACTTGTAGGACACCTTCCTTTAAACAAAACTTATTGTAAGCTACAGTTATGATATACATCATCTGCAAAAATGGCACACTACCACAGAAATTGGTAAAATGATAATAAAAGATTATAAAGGAAAAAAGCTGAAATGAAAATTCCGTGAAGAAAGACCATCATTGCCCAGTGACTTTTGTAGTTTCCACCAATTCCAATACTTAAACGACTATTGCAAATAAAATAATTTTTTTTAAAAATAGCTTGGGAAATCTATAAGAAATGATAGAAAAAAGAAATTTGGGGAGTACCTTAAAGCATAAAATGGCATAAACGCAATGCCTAAAAAGTTCCATTTGTTAAGTATTTATAAAAATTTCACTTACATTATTATTGATTATTAAAGTTTAAAAAGAAATCGAAAACTTTTTTTAAAAATATCCTATATTTTTGATTTTTTAGATATCTTGTATCTTGTGTTTAAGTGGAGCTTTGTATTGTGCGTACTGATGACAACGTGTATATTTAATCACCAAGCAATATCAAATGAAAATTGACCGTTAAACGAGGCAAAAGAATATAATAATAATCATTTTGCACAACAAATGCAATAAATGGACCAGACCAAATCAAATATCGAGGACTTTCAACAAAATAAGCTGAAATTTTAACGTAAAGCATCGCCATCCGTTTTAATTTTTTGCTTAAATTTACTATTACTTAATTTTTCAAAATAAGCAATAGTAAATTTGAAAAAAACCCTCAAAATCTTCAAAAAAACAAAGCTACAAATAAAAAAAACTAAGACTAAAAACAGAAAACCTGGAAAAATTTCAAAAAATATTTGTAGAAATTTGTTCAGTAACCATTTATACAGAAAAATTTTTCTCTTCGCAGCAACAACAATATATAATAAACCATCATCCTATAATGGAAGAAAGTTTGTAAAAAAAATCTAGAACAGCGAATCAAAATGAACTTTGTAAATGAATGGATGCCACAAGTCTTTCTGAGCTGGATTCTTACAAATGTCAGAAATCAAGCCAAACCTCAGAAACTTTATAAGAAAATGCTGTAATTTGCTTTAATTCATTTATTGTTCCTTTCAATGCGAATGGCTCAGATAGTTCGTGAGCAGTTATTTGACCATCGGAAAGGCACAAAAGAAGATCACAACGAGCAACGACTTGAATCGAAATAACTGATTTGCGCACAAATGACGAACACATCGTCAAATCATATCCTCTCTTCCCTAAAATTTTAAAAAATACCAAAAACATGTGCATCAAAAATTTAATAATAAAATATAACCAACTATCTTGACTTCCATTAAGCGCAAGAAGATGACCCGATTTGCTACCAATATACACTTTTGGTGCGTGACCTAAAATAATTTAGAACAAGAACTAATGAAAAAGTTCTTTCATTAATTAATAAATATTTTAATCTGAAGATTTTATTTTTTTATTCCGCAAAATTTTCGAGCGTAAAACAAATTAATCCACAAAATTCCTTGTAAAAATAAATTGAATTGAATTAACTTCAGATTTTTAATTAATTAACTTCTAACTTACTTTAACAATGCCTTTCAGAAAAAGTAAATCCAGCAAATCGAATAATTCTTCCCCTAACGACACACACCATTTTTGTTTTGCCTTAACTATCTTTCGCGAGAGAGACAACTGAGGATAGCAAAAAAAGGACCGCAATACCAACCGGATTTAAGGACCATTCGCAAAAATAAACAAGAAATGGACTTTTGTTATTTAATCCAATAATTAAGTACTATTACTGTTTTAATATACTAATAACTGTGGAAAAAAAACCATGCGCAGATATACAAGCGACATCAGTTGATTTGTCCAATTTCGATGCAACTTCCGTAACTGAATACGCTTCAAACATTATTCGCTTGCATCCTTTTGACCTAAAAATTTACTTATTGAAAATATTTTTTTATGATTTGTACACTCTAATTATATCCTACGCAGTATAAAATGGAAAAAATGAACATATTTGCTGATTCTCTCACTCTTTTCACTTTCCTTTTCCCTCAATTTTTTCATGCCTGTCCTATTTACCCAATAGCAGTTCTCCTGTGTTGTTTGAGAACCTAACAACCTTCATTTGCTGCGTCCTCACCTAAGATCGCACCATTTCCTCTGCTGAAATCTGAATTAGGTTCATTCGCAAAACAAAATTAAAATTAGTCATATAAAATTATTTTCTGAAAAAAAATACATGTAAATGCATAAATAAAAATTCTGAAAGTAAACAATAAGGTATGCGCATAAAAGCGTATTCAGAAATATTAAGCCCGACATATTCCAGCTAAATAGATAGCACAGAAGAAGGATTTAAAGGATCTTCCCATTCTTTTCATCTTGCTCTTATATTATTACATTATTTCTCACCCATAATCTAACTGTTCATAAAAACTTTGCCCCCTTACTTTTCTTATTAATGCTTCCCAATTTGCTTATTCCATCTTTCCTGGTTTAGCAACTGCTTCATCGTACAAATTTAAACACCCTCTTTCGAAATCTGTGGTGTCCTCCCAAACTCTAAATATTTCCCATAATTCCAGCTAAAAATCCACTGATCTACTTTAACGTTTTTCCCGCCCAAATGAAGTTCAAATTTTGTCATTCTTACAACGAATTCCTTATGCGCAATGTGTTGACTCATTTTTTTCTCTGAAATGTGGTAAATTTTTCAAAGGATTTTTCCTTTTTCTTGCGAATTCATAAGGAGGGTGAGAAATATTTTTAGAAATTTTGCGAAGTTGTTTATTCATTCAGAAAACTTTGTTTTCTCCGTAATTTTAATTTTTTGGTACAATTTGTTTGCATAATGCTGCAGCAATTTTTGCAAATAATTTCATTTTATTTTGGTCGATGAAAGAAAATTTCTTAGGTGAATCTCGCATGGGAATTTGTGCGTTGCGCAGATGTGGGAACGTAGGTGAACGGAAATGCAAAGAGATTCGCCGAGTTTGACTTTTTTAGCGGAACAAACGCCTGGTTGCTGGTTTGGCTCTGCTTTTTAAACGCTTATCGATCCGAATTCCCCTCGGAATCATCGTATTCATGTGAAACGCCAATTCGCTTTCACTGCTTGATTTTCTGCCCGAAATGAATTCTAAAAAAAGGTTTTTCTGGAAATTGCCATTTCTCGCAGTTTGGTGAATTTGTTGGACTTTATTTAAAATGAAAAGTTATTGTTATCGCGGACTTTTAAAGGATTAGAATGGAGAATGGAGAGGTAGGTTCCTTAATATTCTTTTGGGAAACTTCCGCAGTCAGTTTCCATGTTTCGGATTTCATCTTCAATGAATCATTTTCATTCCATCAAGGAACGGGAGAAGGAAGTTGTTTGAAGTTGTTCGCCGTTACTCAGGCGAAGCAGCCGCGTGAATCTATGCCTATTCGGCTGTTGATTTTTAAGTGAGACATTACCCTTACCATATCAGCTCGTTTGTTTATGCTTTTAACTCCTCACTGACTTTCCTTCTTTTCTGCTTTTTATTTTTGTTGATGTTTTGCTCTAGAGAATTTCCTTTTTTCTGCGTTTTTTTTTGATTTCCTCTGAATTTTTTCATTTTCTAATTTCTTTATCGTTTTTTTTCATTTTCGCTACCGATATTCACTTGTTATTTAATTTGACTGAAATTGCCACTCCATTTGTAAAATTTTCTAAGCCATACTTTTTTGCGAAAATTTCATCGAAAAGATTAAACTGATGTTGTCAAAATTTGCCAATATTTTTGACAAAATTGTCAAAACTGTCAAAAATATCCGAAATCTTTAAGATAAAGGTATATTAATCTAATTTTTTTGATGAAATTTTCGCAAAGAAAATTTTTTCGATTAACAGAAATTTGTGGAAAAACTTAGTGGAAGCTTATGGCACCGTTGTCTAGTGAATTAGCGAAAAAATTTCAAAATTAGCTCTTTTCTTGTCTATAGAATAAATTAAAGCTAGATTTAAAGTTTTTAAGAATTAATTAAATTTAAATATTTGTTTTGTAAAATGTAGCTTTTGGCTGGTTTCCTGTGGAATTTTTTTGTTTAGATTGTTTTTTAATATTATATATTTTTTTGTATGTGAATTAATAATGTAGAACATTATGAACATTATGGATGAGTACAAGTTGTTTACCTTGTAAACGCGCCAAGTGAAATATTTGTTGTCATTTTTTTGTTGGATTTGGATAGAACTTAAAAGGCTGACTTCATTCACTTTTTAAATTTGTTTAACGAAATTTTCGTGAGGATTTTCTTAAGTCAAAGAATATTCTTTGAAATCATGAAAAACAATGCGCAAGGAATTTATTTCATTTGAAATTTTTTTATTTATACGTTTTTATGATTTAAGAAAGTTTATTTATAGGTTTTTTTACAAAATTATTACTAATATTTATTTTGCACAATTATTTTTTAATTTTTTTTAAAATTTATAAAATACGAACCATTTATTTTGCTTTTAATTGTGTATTGTTTTACATTATTTTGGACATAATTACCGGTTTCTCTATAAAGACTTAGTTTTTTTAAGTTTTTTTTTTAGTGTGACTGTGTACGGTATCAATTTCGAATCAACTAAGGATGTCAGCAGATAATGAGCTTAACGTGGATCAACTGATTACTCGTTTATTGGAAGGTTTGTTGGTTTGTTGTTATTTTATTATTTATTTTCAGTTTCATTAAAATCATACGAAATAAAATTCAGTTCAAAAAGAGATTTAAGCTTTTAATTTCATGATATTAATAATTTCTTTGAAAGGAAAATTTCTTCTTTGATGTAATTTTGTAGTTCGAGGATGTCGCCCAGGCAAAACCGTTCAAATGTCTGAAAGCGAAATTCGCGCCTTGTGCTACAAGAGTAGGGAAATATTTATAACGCAACCAATTTTGCTAGAATTGGAAGCCCCTCTTAAAATTTGTGGTTTGTTCAATTCATTTATTTTCTGTATACACATTGGATTTACTCTTCTTCTTTTTCAGTTAATTCATCAATGTCTTTTTCTTAGCTCAATAAAAATTGCGGATTTTTAAGGTGGATGGCTGAACTTTTTGAAATATTTATCAATATCACATCATACATATGGATTATTTTTTTCCATCTCATTTAAAGTTACTTTTCACTTGACTTGAGAAAAATTCATTTTCTGAGTAAATTTTTATAGTATAGGAACAAAAATGTTTTAAAGGGGATATCCACGGTCAGTACAACGATTTATTGCGGCTTTTCGAATATGGTGGATTCCCGCCTGAAGCGAATTATTTGTTTCTCGGTGATTATGTCGATAGAGGGAAACAAAGCTTAGAGGTTAATCTATTCAAATTTTAGAGTATAATGAATTTTGTAATTATTGTTGTTGTATTATTTTATCTTACCTTTTGGGTACATTCGTATTTTGCATTATTCATTCATAAAATGAACATTATTGAATAAAACCAATTAAAATCAGTCAATTATTAGAATTTTTAGACTATTTGCTTGTTGCTTGCGTACAAAGTAAAATATCCAGAAAATTTCTTTTTATTGAGAGGTAACCATGAATGTGCAAGTATCAATCGTATTTATGGTTTCTATGACGAATGTAAGTTGTAAAAATATATTCTTTCTTCTGTTTCTTCATTCAGAAACTGCTTTATTTTTCACAGCTGCTAATAGCTACTAACATCTTAAGAACTTTGTTCAGTTCATTCGATATTAAAGTTATTTTAAATTTCACGTTTAACTATCTAGCTATTATAGAGAAGTGGTAATAATTCAAAATTCAAGTTTTTATTTAAAGTTATTAATACAGGTAAAAGGCGCTTTTCAATTAAACTTTGGAAAACATTCACCGATTGTTTTAATTGTCTTCCAATTGCTGCACTTATCGATGAAAAAATATTTTGTTGTCATGGTGGTCTTTCACCTGATTTACAAAATATGGAACAAATAAGACGAATAATGCGGCCAACAGATGTACCCGATACAGGTCAGATTTTACATTGGTTGGAGTCATCAAGACTGGAATCCATCGGTGTTCCGAATTTGTATGATTATGGGGTTTTCGTTTTCGAACAGGTTATTATTGTAATTGTCATTTTAAATTTTCGCTCAGTTAAGGAGTTAAGTTTAGAATTAGACGGGTTTTCTCACCTTGATGGATGTGCGAGAAAAGATGGTTTGCTCCAAGTTGTTCTTCAGTCGTAAATTTTGTTTCTTTAGGATTGCTGTGTGATCTGCTTTGGTCAGATCCAGACAAAGATGTGCAGGGATGGGGCGAAAATGATCGAGGCGTATCATTTACATTTGGTCCAGATGTAGTCGCCAAATTTTTAAATCGACATGATCTTGACTTGATATGTCGAGCTCATCAGGTTAATATTTTACTAGTAATTTTTTTCAAACCTCAATGTACCCTTTAACATTCGCTTAAAATTTGCTTTATTATAAATTGGGACTTCAATTTTTTTTACCAAACAACGATTAAAATTAAAATAAAATAAATTAAAATTAAATCAATTTAATTAAATCAAATCAGTTAAATTGTATAAATAAATAATATATGTATATTTCATATATATACATATAGTCATATATATATATATATACATATATTTTTAAATTTCATTATCCATTTTATTATTTTTTTCAAATTTAATTTTTTTTCCTGTCTTTGGCAGGAGTAAACCTGTTATTATGTCAAAAATCCGGGTGGCTGCTGGGGATCCACTGTAACTCTATCCCCAAGTCACTCTATGGTGAAAGGGTCAGATAGGCGTCCTCGTCTCCCGATGCGCATGATGCTCCCAGCCCGTTGGTACATGCGATAAGTATACAGTCCGGGCTTAAGTGATCCCAAGACTGGTAAATAAAATGTGCTGGTAAGCCAGGGTAATTGACCTGAACCTATCAACAGGAATAGCCCTTTGCACGCGCGGCGAGGTATTAGCCTTACCAGCTAGAACGTCAGAACGCTTCTGGACGTTGCAAGTCAAGCGGTCATTGTCCACACCCTATCTAAGTATCGTGTGGATATCGCTTGCTTGTCGGAGGTCCGTCTTCCTCACTTTGAGTCTCGAGCAATTATTAATCCTGGTTCAGAGCAGAGATACTGGCTATATCACTGTGGTGCTTCGAATAACTCGGGACGAAATGGCGCAGCGATTGCTAGGTCTGATAAGATCCATTCCGCTTTGATTGAGTGGAGACCGGTAAACGACCGTATGGCCCGTTTCGAGGGTAAGTTCTGCAATATCTCGGTCATCATTGTCTATGCTCCAACTCTGTCGGCAGATGACCGTGATAAAGACAAGTTCTATGCGGAACTTCAACTGCTAACAAAGTTTCTACAGAAACATGATCATTATCGGAGGAGACTGGAATGCTCGCGTAGGTCATAATGCAGCTGCGATGACCTCAACAATTGGCAAATATGGCATCGGAGATCGGTGTGCCAATGTGGAACGTCTTCTTCGTTATGCCGAGGAGCATGAACTTTTGTTACTAATTCTTGCTTCCGGCATCATAAAAAACATCTAGTCACGTGGAACTCCCCGGACAACCAACACTTCAACCAGATTGATCGCCGTTGGAAGAGTTCCGTCCTAGATAGTAGTTCATATTGAGGAGCTAAAACGGGATCTGACCATGTTATGGTTCGAGCTAAGATCCGCATAAAGTTGACAACTCCCAGAAAACAGCATCCCCCAAGTTCCTTCAACTATCTCAAACTATAAAATTCGAGGACAGTGAGCGCATTTCAAACAGAATTATTGAAGCATCAATGATTTTTCTGGAACAGCAGTTGAATACTGGTCCAAACTAAAGTAATGTCTTCGAAAATCAGTCACTTCCACAAGGGCATACTGGCAGGAACTGTGCTAGTTGGGTATCGGAAGCAATTGTCCAACTATCTGAAAAAGCTGCCAAAGCACGAATATCAGATGATCCTGACTACCGGATGCTTCGAAGATTTGCAACGAAAGCAGCACAGCAAGAAATCACTATTGGAGTGATATGGCCTCAAGAATGGAGACGGCTCGATTATGCGATAATAGGAAACCATCCCGCCTTCTTCATAAAACAACTATAACTCGGGGAACGATATTATAAAATGGTGAAATGGTAAGGGACAGCAATGGCGTGTCAGTCAAAAGTATTAAGGACTGCCTCATAAAATCAAAAAAATTCTTTGAGACCAAACTTAACCAAACTTAGCCATCTGTTCCCCCTGATATAGCTGATATGTTCGTCGAACCATGCACTTGCAACTGCGAGCCGCCAACAGAAAAAGAAATAATCTCCGTTATCAATAAGCTTAAGGCCAATAAGACTCCTAGAAGATGGTCTTCGGGCCGAACTCATCAAATGTTGCCCATCGTCCTTCATAACACACCTTCAACAAATGCACACTGTAAATGCACACTGTAGTATGGAAAAATAAATATTACCAGATGACTGGAACAAAACAATTCAGCACCCAATTCTCAAGAAAGATGATAGGGCATACTGCGACAATTATCGAGAAATCGGCCTAAATATCTCAGGGAAAATTTTTGCTTTCCTTCTACTCATTATACTTATGGCAGTAAGGGAAGTTCCTTAATTAAGCTGGATTTAGACCAGGATGCGGTTGTGCTAACCAGATATTCATGTTAAGGAAGGTATTGGAACATCGCTTCAAATATTTGCAATCCACCTTTATTTCATCGATGATGGCATGGTCTAGTACCGGCGACATATCTATCAAGTATCTGCCTTATCAACTTTCGATGGTAGTTTATGTGCCTACCATGGTTGTAACGGGTAACGGAGAATAAGGGTTCGACTCCGGAGAGGGAGCCTGAGAATTCAACTGATAGAGCGGCACTTTGGAGGATGATGGAACGCAACGATTTTTCAGAGAAGATCATTCGACATACAAAGGCATTTTATGAGCGTACGTCGGAGCAGTCTATGTATATGGGGAATTGACAGACCCTTCGAAATAAGAACTGAGTCTGTATCCTTTCCTCTACGATATTCAACTACGCAACAAACTGGATAATGGACACCTCAACAGGTGTCCAAATCAGTCCAAAGCATCCTATAATCTTGAATACGCTGATGATGTAGTTCTTTTTTGCTGATAGTTACGACGAAATGCAAGTAATGCTAAATAACGTGTCAGAAACTGGAGCAAGAATAGGACTCAGGGTCAATATAAACAAAACGACAGTCTTTTCGTTTATATACAAGAGGTTGATAAAATGCCTCTTTTTGTAAATTCATTGCCGATTGAGGAAGTGCCCGATTTTAAATACCTTGGGTCCACTCTATTACAAATGGCTAGGCAAAAGATGATATTACAATCCGGTTCACGGCAGCTAGAAATATCTCGGTTAACGAAACCTTCATGGAGTCGTCGTGAAATCTTCATAAAAACGAAAGTCCCCATCTATATAGCCATGATCCGTTCGATTTTGCTGTATAGCCCTGAGACATGACCAATGAGAATGGACGATATTAAGAAGTCATCTGCCTTTGACCACCCTTGTCTAAGGTCATTTTACGGATCCATTGAGCGAATAAGGTATCACATGTTCGCATTCGTTTTCGTTCAAATACCACTTACGTAATTTTATCACAGAGCGTCGCCTTCGCTGGTTAGGGCACGTTTCCACCACAGGAGTTGACGCATATTTCCTTACTTGCTAAACCGTGTAATGGTTGGCGTCAAAGGCGAGGTGGGCCAATCAAGACCTAGACTGATACTGATACGATCAGAAAAGATTTTGAAAGATTTTGTATAGGTGGATCAGTAATATATGGACTTAGGCAATGGAAAAAGGAATGGCTTCTATTACTGTGGACGATGGTATCAGACCGCGATGCGTGGAAGCATCTTACTCTTATAGGCGTTGCAGCCAGCCTAACAAGTAATGGCAAACTGTTAGAAAAAGAAGAAAATTGGGACTATAAGAAGAACGGATTTGGAGGGAATATTAATATAGAAAACAATAATATGCATTTATGATACGCCTAGATAGTGTGATGGAATATTTTGTGTTAACAAGCTATAACGAAATGTTAAGAGGATTTAAGATGGTGCCAGTCAGCGCTTATAATAATAACGGTTTCAGACAAGATGGAAAAGAAATGAGTTTGAGAGAGTTATAAAGGCATATAGGAGAATTTAAGGAAGTGAAATGGGATATATAGTGGAACAAAAAGGATTAACGATAAGGGAAAACAATAGAGTAGGATGTCATTATGGGGTTACAAGTGGATCTAAGGTTAAGGCAGTGTAAAAGGTTTCTAGAAGACCTTTATGGTAAAAGGATAAGGTTAAGTTTTTGATATGTTCTGAGAAAGCGATTAAGAAGCAATATAACATTGGAGCTGGTGAGTGAAAAGAGTTGTACCAAAAGGGTATAGTGTGGTTTTACAGTTCTGAATGATAATAGAATGATAATTTTTTATTTTCCAATAAATATGCTGATGTTTTAGAGATTGGTATTTATTTATGCTAATTTTTTTCAAATTTCGCTTAATTAAATTTAAAACAAATAATTTGAATTTTTTTTCGGCTAATTTAACAAGGGTTATGATGGATTTTAGGCAATGTTTAATCTAAAAAGTTTTTATACTAGACTAGATTAACTGTTGTTACATCGTATAAAGCTATTTGTTTATATAGTCTAGGACGGGATGATTTGTTCTACTTTATATACCCAATCCTGTCCAGTATTTTTGTTGGTAAAAAATGCGAAACCTTGGGCAACTTACCAAATATTTGTATAGTAACTTATAAAAATAAATAATTATCATGATAGTGACAAGTAAATAATTTTTTTTTCTCGAAATTCCTAAAATTTTCGCACCGAAGTTCTATCCCATATCGTGATAGAATTCCATATTCCTATCAACTGCTCCTTCCATTTTTGACCACACTCCTGTTCGGCACTGAAATGGTCTACAAATTCTAGGTAGTAGAAGATGGATATGAGTTTTTCGCTAAACGCCAGCTAGTGACGCTTTTTTCGGCTCCAAATTATTGTGGGGAATTTGATAATGCCGGAGGTATGATGAGTGTGGACGAAACACTTATGTGCTCATTTCAGGTAAATTTTGAAATTTGTATTCAAGGTTTTAATTCTTTTAACCCACAGATTTATTTTTATCGTTTTTTTAGTCGTTTTTGCTTCAAAATAATTTTTAAAGCCAAAACAATATATATAATGTATAATATATAAATAATATAAAAAATTTTAATTTTGAATGGTTTTAGAAAAGTGCTACTTTACCATTGTATCGATTACTATTTTTTTTCTTTCTAATGAGTGGCTTATTAAATTTTAAAAATATAAATTTTTTTCTGGAGTATTCTGTTCATAAAGCATTATTATCTTGGAGTTCATGTTTATGTTTTGTCTCTTTGTTTTGTTTTATTTTTCCAATTTTATATTCATGTAAACAAAATCCTTTCGTAATTTGATAATTTTAGATCTTGAAACCATCCGAGAAAAAGGCGAAATATCAATATGCTGGCATGAACAGTGGTCGTCCTTTACAATCGCCTCAACGAGCTGGGGTTATGCCAGGTGGTGGGATTGTGAAAAAGTGATAAGCTGTTATTCTGCTGTAATGATTTGATTTATATTTAATGAAAGCTGAGGACTTCCTGAAAAAAGTTGGCTTATAAAGGTCTAAAGGTTTGAGTTTATCGAATATTGAGTTGTATTTGAAGAATAACATGTTTAAATTATCAAGTCAACTTTGTTCGCAGTTTTTAAAATCACTTTAAACTTGGATCTTTGTAATTTTGTAATTTTTTATTGACTGACAAATCTTGAGCAATAATACCGGATATAGTATTTTTTTGATGTGAATAGTATATTTCCTTTCATTTTACTGTTGGACATGATCAGTTTCTTCTGTCAGCAATCATTTAGCTTGAGCGATGTTTTCGTGGTTAAATTCATGCTTTTCCCCTACTACACCATAGTAAGATATCAAAGATACCATTTAGATCGTTCACAGTGGATTTATGAATAGCGGATTATGTTTTATATGTGTTCCATCCTGAATTTGAAGAAAATATGGTCGGTTAAATTATTTTAAGCTGAAATTGTCACCCGGATCATCCTTATAAGTTGTTCAGTTGGTTTAAGATCGCATATTCATTTTTTTTAAGCTTGCTTATTCGATTTATATGTCATTCATACTCTTTTTTGAATAAAAAGTGGTTGCCTTCTATTTTTGAGCTGGGAACCAAGTATTGTAATATAAAGATTCAATAATTCTTCATTTAAAATTTGTTTGAATTCAAGGTGCGATTTACGAATAACTTCGGATTTACTTTTCTTTTTCTTTGTAGGAGCTTGCTAGTAAAATCGCGAATGTTGTTTGGGTATAAACGTCATTTTTTATACAATTATCTTCCTAGTTGTTTTATGTTAGGGATAGAGTGGTCGAGTGGTATATTGCTTAGACAGAGGTGGAGCCATAATTGTTTTGATTCGTTGCTCATAACATGAGTAATCCTGCCTTAAGGTGCTGAGAATTGGCCTGTATTTCCGTCTCCAATTGATTCTCGGGAGAAAGGGCTTTGTCCTAATTGCTAATGCGAGCAGCAGAAATGGTAAATGGTGTTAGAAGAAAAAGTAATATGTCCCAGCGGTGAAACTGAAAGTAACTCACCCACTCTATCCTTATGGTTATATAAAAGTGGATGCTATAACATAGCATATATTGGTGTCGACTGTTATAAATTTGGTTATGGCAAAAGCGGATAAAAATAAAGTAATCACTTGGAACCTCAGGTAAGAGTGGTTAAAAATAACTTCTTAATAATCATCCAGTCCTGTTGGCTATATTTTGTAACAATATATCAAGATACAATGCGAACTGTCGCCAGGTAGATGCGAACTTTCGTTTTCGTGGTGATTCCATAGAGCACAGGTGTTTTGCGGGTTGAAAAAACGAGTTTCGTCTTTTGTTTAGCCACTTGCTACAAGAGTGGACCCAAAAGTTTGGAATCTGGCATTTCCTCGATCCTTGATAAGCTTATAAAGGCATTTTATTAGCATCTGTTAAGCAAAAAAGGTATCTAGCCTCATTTTCGCCGCAGTTGTTGACATACAATCTATGGTCTGCTGAGGTTCTTCAAAACTATCAGCAAAAAGAACTGCGTCAGCTTATTCAAGGTCTAACAAGATCTCTGTGGAGTAACTTGTACATTTCTTGTGTGCCAGCAGTAATCGAGTTATGATACAGTTAAACTGTAAGGGAAAAGACTCAGCTTTGTGGCATAAAAGGATGTATCGATTTTTCATATAAAAATGCCTTAATGAATAAGATAATCTTTGGAACATTGCTGAATTCCATCATCTAGAAGAATACTCCATCAATTGAATCATAGCGGTAGAATTAAGTAACAATAAGATGTCGGTATTTGATGTGATGTTCCAACATCCTGTGTTTTAGCACATCCGAGCACTGATTTAAATCCACCTTGGTGTACTACCTTAAGCATATTCAGCAGAAAGGTGGTAAAAATTTTGCCAGAGACGTCTAATAAGCTAATTCCTCGATAATTGTAAATCCTATTATCCTATCACTACCACCCTTTTTAGGGACTGGGAGCAGGATTGCTTTGTTCCAATCACCTGGTATTTTTCTTCCATAGAGAGTGCATCAGTCCTTTGAAGGTAAGTTGTGGAGACTTCAGCTTAAAATTGTCTTCTCTGGAAATTTTACTGGTCTGAAGTTTCTGAATGACCATTTCTTGTTGGTGGCTTGCAGCTGTAATCATATTTTCAGGGATCTACCAGTCATGATTAAGATACATTTTAATATACAGGTTCGTCGAGCTGGTAAAATCTCACATAATTACATCCATCTTCGCTCAAATATCATTTGCATTAACAGTATAAATCGTTGCCTTCTCTGATCAAGGATCACGGCAGCTAAAAATGAGTTCTTCCCGTTGACGAAACCTTTATGGAGCCGTCGCGAAATTACCATTAAAAAAAGTCCGCATCTATATAGCCGTTATTCTTTCGATCTTGCTATATGGCCAATGAGAGTGGAGGATATTAAGAATCTATTTACCTTTGACCACTTTTGTCTAACGTATATTTTACGGATCCGTCGAGCGGATAAAATATCACATGATCGCATCCACCTTCGTTCAAACACCACCTTTATTAATAATTTTATCACATAGTGTCGCCTTCGATGGTTAGGGCACGTTCTCTGTCCTCCACCACAGGAGTTGACGCATATTTCGTTACTTGCTACACCGTGTGATGGTTGTCGTCAAAAACGATGTGGGCCAATCAAAACCTGGACTGATACGATTAGAAAAGATTTTGAACGTATAGGTGACCCAGCAATATATGGACTTAGATGATGGAAAAAGGAATGGCTTCTATTACTATGCACGATGGCAAATCGCTTGGAAACGTCGTAACCAGTAATGGTCAGAGCTGTTAGAAGAAGAAGAATTAATGACTACAAAGTAAAATTTGCAGTCTCGATCTCGGTCCGGTTCCGGTCTCGGTCCAAGATAGTTTTCATGGATGTAACATCCAGATCAATGAAAGTCAAGCAGAAGGAAACCGATGACGAAGTTTCAAAATTCTTCCGAGAGAAAACCTGTTTCCGGCATCAAACAATTCAGTAATATAATATTCAAGAAAATTTTAGAACTACTCGAATAAAGATATTTTATTATCACCAGTACAAGCTAAAAAGCAAGCTATTATATCGGATTCAACTCATAAGGAGTTTTGATGGAAATATGGAATGCAAATAATGGAAAGCCTCATTTAAAATCTAGAAAGCTCCTTCAGTGTAGATAATTTTCTGCATTCATTTATTCTTATATTTGAATCAAGTTTTTTCGAAATTTTTTCAATGTTTTCAATTTCATTGGATAAAAATGAAAAATTTCTAGAAAAGTTGAAAGAAAAAAAAAGAATAATAACACCTTTCTGGCAAAAAAGGTCAGAAAACCAGTCTGAAACTGCTTAAAAACGCAAAGGCACCACGAATTATCAACACATGGATTTTACAACAATTTATATTCCGGTGAATTTCTTCACTTCTAATTAACGAAATAAATAGCCAATAGAAACTCTTAAAGTGATACGTTCCACTATTTCCATTGTTTCTTTCCAATGTCATCGATGCTTATTGTCATGAAAATATCTCCAATAATAAAATATTTAAACGAATTTAAATTTAAAGGCTATTTGCTATAAAATTTGCTTGTTTTTGCTTATTAGCTAATGCATAAAGCAGACTTTCGGCACAAATAACATCTCTAATTCGATGGTACATGCGATAAAAATGCTAACGAAAAAGTCCAGCGAGCTTCCAACCAATAAATTTTCCACAATGTCAGTTTAGAAGACTTTTTTAACGTTGATTTGTCTGCCACGCGGTTTATTTTTAATCTCCAGTCGAAGTCCCTTTCTCCACTGCAAAGGGACGAAAAAGTACCTTTTGTGAGAGACCCTTAATCCCGGGTAATTAAATCGTTTATTTAAAAATAAAAATTCATACATATACAATCATATATCTTTCGACTTAAAATGATGCATTGGCAATGGTGCAGCAAGTGCACCCGAACACTCGAACAGCGAGATAAGAGAAATTGATATCCGGGATAAGTATGCGATGGTGGTAACGAGACTGCGAAGAGCTAGGACGTAGCCATTCGGTGACAGTGGGCCTGACGAAAGGATTCCAAAGAATAAAATGAGATCTCGCACCAAGATGACTATTCTATTATGGGAAATGAACAATTGTTAGTGGGTTCTCTGCTGGCGATATCTTGAAAGTAACAGCATGGAATATTTCGATGTCCAAGCGATAATCGTCCACACTTTGCTCAAGCGTGGAAATCACTTGCCTGTCGGAATTCCATCTTCCTCACTGTGGGTCTCGATCAAAGCAGATACTGGCCGTGCTACTGTTTCGGAATGTAATCGCTTAGGGACCATATCTGAAAGAGCTCGATCCGTTTCGGTTGTGGAAGAGTGTTAACGATTGGAAGCTTTGCATACGCTTCAGCTTCAAAGCATTTGCAATGTTTCGGCCATTACTTGCGCAGATGAACGTGATAAAGATAGATCCCATGCAGAACTTCAACAATGATATCGTTCCTAAAAGATGATATTGTTGTAAACGGTGCAAACTGGAATGTGAAATGCATAGACTTAGGTTCTGTGGTTGCAAAATATGGTGTCGGAGCTCGATATGCGAATAGAGCCTTGCTAACGGACATTGACTTTTTGCTAGTAACGGGTGCTTCCAGAATTGGAGAAAATAGCTAGTTACATGAATATGGAAAACCAACATTCCAACCAGGTTGACTATATTCTGGTCACTCGTTGCAAGAATCCCGTTCTAGATAGTTGAAAGTGATAACCTTCACAGAATATTGCTATGATTGAGCCAAAATCCACATGCAGGTGAAAATGCGCAGAAAACAACATTCCCCAAAATCTTTAAACTATTTTCATCTCAAAGATTTTGGAGATATTGAGCATATTTCAAATCGAACTACCGAAACTTCAATGATATAAACATCAAGAGCATACCTGAAACGACCAATGAACAATTAAACGCTGGCTTCCCAAAGGCGGCCAAATTCACACTAGAAGAAAAAGGTTCAATTGTCCGAAAAAATCACCACAGCACACCATCAAACCACCAGGTTAGTCCTGCAAGACCGCGTTTCGAAGACCTACAACAACAGCGGCACGTAAAAAGGGGAACCGTTACTGGAGTGATACGGTTCTGAATATGGACGCGCTTAAGCGAATAGGCTTTAAAAGGAAGCCGTTTAGCCTTGTTTCGTAACGCAACCATAACTCGGGAAACGAGCAGTGAAATGATTTGGAATAAAGATGGGTTATTTAATCCTCATTGTACGATCGAGAAGAAGAAGAATTTTCGTTACATCAAACTTTTAATGATGGAAAAATAACTTTTTAATCCAATTTACATTCCATTCCCAGTACTTTCATCTGAAAAGAACTTATTCGACCACCCACGAAGTCCGTTAACACCACTGTAGTAACCGTTGCTTATGCCAAAATCGAATATCAATATGAACAATTTATACATAGTTTGTAGAATTCCACGGATGCTGAGCTGCAAAATAGAATAAATCTTTTTACCAATTTAACATTCGTTTAACTGTGCTAAAGCGTTTAACTTCAAAAGTTTTAGAAATTTCGTTTCGATAAATCCTCGTGGGATTCTCGCAGTTGCATTTTTCAGCCTTTTTTCGTGCTCAGCAGCAAGTAATCAAACAAAAATTGGTGATAAATTTCATTGGTTTTAGGTTTTTTAGATAAATAAATAGTGATTATGGCAGTTAATCGAATTTTTTGTGCGAAAACTATTGCCGAATTTATTAAATTTTCTGTTAATTACAGCCGTTCTACTGTAAGATTTTTTAAATTTTAATTTATTTATTAAATTAAAGTTTTAGAACTTTCGACCTTTTTATGCTCATTTTTGCGGTAATTTTTGGTTAAATATGGAAGAAAAATCATATTGCATATTGTTGAAAAAAATAGTATTTGTACAAGAGATAAGAAAAGATAAAATAAAAGAAGGTAGTGAGTGTAAATTATGGATGGAAGAAAAATGCAGCAGTGGGATGAAAGATAAAAGAAGGCAGAAAGGGAAGAAAGGTTGAAAAGTGCAGATGGGCGACCCTTTGCGGGCCACGTAACCAGAACGTGTCTTCCGGTTTCAGCTGCCGCTTTTTTGATATTTTTTAAATAATTTTTTCCGCTATAAATTGATGTAAAAGTTGATTAATGAGGAATTTTCTGTTCGACATTCTTGCGGCAATTAATTATTGGCTACTTTTTCGTTTTGATTAATTTAAAGTTCAAAATTTATGTGAGGGAATTCAGTTACTGCGATCGGTAATGCCAAAAACACCAGTGACTCCGTCGAAAAACTGTTCAACAAAGAAAGAAGGAGGCGAAGAATCTGATGAGGACAGTCCATCGAAATTACCCAGTTTATTTGATCGTTTTGTACTAAGTTTCAATAAAGCGACTGCTGATATCGGAAAAGGTTTTTTCCAGTATTCATTAGTATAAGTATTCATTACTATGGAATGTTTATTTTATTCGAATTAGATGCAGTTATATTATTAGATTATAGTAAAGAAGAGTAGAATTTTAACGTTAAACAGACAATTTTCAATTTATTGAACGAAATTTATTATTTATTGAACGAAAATGCATGAAACTTTGCTTTTTCGCATTTGAGTGTCGTTATTCCTATGTCTTTAAAGCTTATAGTCTTCGAATAACCTTTTTGTTTGCTTAAGTGAATAAAAGATATAAGACAAATTGAAAAAATCATTTAGTATGTTTGTAATTTGGTTTGGTAAATAAGTTAGATTTGCTTCACAATTGAAGGGTTGGCCAAATTTTATTCGGAGATTTTTTATTTATTTTCTTTATCTATTTTTTGCAAGAGACAAAGCAGAGCATAACACGATGTGCTGATGTCATAATAGTGAACACAAAAGAGATGGCATCTGCATGAGAAAAAGAAAATATCTACAGCTCATGCATAATATGTAAAGAAAGACTGAACTGACATACTGCTAGTAAACTCTTCGTAAGTGTTGCTAAATAATATGAATGAGATTGCTAAGCTTTACTGTAAAACCAATTGCTGAAGGTGCGCATAATACATCCACAGATAATTTATTCCGGCATCATTGTATAGTGCAGATAAAATCATTGACTTCTTCAGATAGGCTTCAGTCCATTGGATCTGTTATTATTGGAATTTAAAGTTTAAAAAAATGATTAATGGAATTAAAATTCTTTCCATCTGAGCCTGCATTCCTTAAATTTATTTTTGGAATCAAGCTAATCACATATTGCTACTTCACTCAGATTCGGTTAATTTTATTGAACTTGCAGAAGGTAAGAAACAAATATTATCGTCAATATCTATGGAAGGTATCGCTGAGTATATAAAAGATAAAGCAAAAAATATAATAGTTATGTGTGGTGCTGGTATATCTACATCAGCTGGTGTTCCTGACTTCAGAACCCCAGGTTCTCACTTTCTTTGATTTTATTAGTGATCTTTCCCCAAGGATTCTTTATACTTTTAAAAACATATGTCCTTCGGAAAAACAATTTTTAGATTTTTGATTTGAATGGTATGTATAGTTGATTTATTTTAAATATTTTATTTACTAATTTTGCCTTCATCACATCTATTTAACATCGCTCAAAATATTTCTCTGCATTTTATATTTTCTTTCTTCATAAATTTTATTTTTTTTTTCATTTTTTCTCGTAATTATGATAAGCTATTAATTTACTCCTAATTTTATCAACTGTATATCATATATGAATTATGATACTATCATCGTTCCACTTGTAATACGCAATTTATCGGGAAAATAAGAATATATAAAATAAAAATAAGAATAAAAATATAAAAATCACTCAGGGAAGAAGTGAGGAAGAGGTGGAGAAGAAATTTAAGGAATATAATGAATATTCCTTGTCGAAAAAGAATTGTACCAGGACAGAGAGTGGGTAATACTTCAATATTTATATATTCTTCAATAAGCTTTCAGCAACCTTAAATGTTATGTCCAATTCGAAGATGGTGGAACTAAATGAGTTTTAATCTAAGTTGTGTTAGAATTACGTTAGTATTAACCTGTTAGTATTAAAGAATACTGTGAAAAATGTGGAACTGATGGGAGTTAAACTTTACAGAGAACTTTACAGAGTTGATGGAATCATTGCAGAATTTGAAGCGAAACTGTTAAAGAGTTCAAAGAGAGTGAAACGGGATTTAAGGAAAATATTGGTGGAATACAGTGAAGCTCTACAGAATTTGTAATAGGTTTTTAGAAAGTATTATTGGCGTGTGTAACGAAAAAAAGGAGTTTTATCTCCTCCTAATAATTCGGGTTCGATATCCCTTTTCGTTAAGAAAGTATCGAAATCTAGTGATTGATAGAGCGACTGATGATCAACGTTGGTTCCAATATTCATTTTGCACTTTTGCAGTGGCCACTAGTGGCCAATATGCGAGATGCAACTGCTCCTACTAATATTTATAAGGAGGAAATTATATTTTAATTCAACTTTTCGCTAATATTCCTTTTTCAAATCAATCGTTCGCTGAAGCTCAAACTTGGGTAATTAAACCTTTATTTAGATAACAATACAACCATAACAAAATTAGTTAACGATATAGTACATCACAATATAGTACAAAATAGCCTAACAAGAACAACTAACGAAATCACCATAAATAAAATAATAAGGCCAAGGTCAACAAATAAATTTGTCCAATCCCTGCTCAATCCAACCCTCGCCTATTACAAAAGTCAATTAATAATTTATGTCCCCTCAAAAATGAATCGAAACAAATTTGCGGCCGCAGCCACGCTTTTGTTGGCCCTCAACCGATTTATCGATTCTGCTCATTTTTGAGCACAGCTTGTAACGGCACGATATTTCAGTTGCAGCCATGCTAACATTGCTATCATGATTTGCAGCAACCGCAGCAGTGTAAAAGTGTACTGTGGTTTGATGGCTTGGAGTGGAAGAAATGTGAGTGGGTGTTATTAAGTGACTAGTACTGGTTCAGAGCAGGTTAAATCAGCAAAAATGCAGAAAAATGTGGAAAAAAATGTAAAAAATGTAGAAAAGTGCAACGAGCCTTTGAAAGTATTATGGTTTCATTTGAAGCACTTTAAGAAGGTTGTTCGCAAAACATAGCACATTTCGTTGGATATCAAATAGTTTCAACAAAGCGAGGTTTCATCGGCGGCAGTATTGCAGGTTTTCAAGGAGTATTGGTGATTTATAACAAAAATAGCAGTATTCCGATGCCATAGTTCTCTAGAAAAAACAGGTATTTAACACATAATAAGCGACTTTGTAGGAAGTGCAAAAGTGTCTACCATTTGGTTTTAGAAAATATTATGCGATAAAGTTTGCTAGGGTTAAAAAGTATAAGAGCTGTGGATGGTTGTAACGTCCATGCCCTTTTGGAAAACCTATAAATCAAGAGAACTGCAATGGTGTCTAAGAAATTAAGATCGTTTAAGGGATAAAATGATATGTAACAATTTTTTACAGAGCATTAAGCGAACAAATATGGTTTCTAGGCGTGTTGAGGAAGTATAACGCCTTTAAAAAAAAGATTTTATAAGAATTACAGCAAATTTTTTTTCCAGACGCATCGGCAGTACGCATACTAATATAGGAAATTATGTAATTATAATATAAACAAATGGTGCTATACCAATGCGTTTTAAATTCTGTGGAAATTATAATATTTAATTTGGATATTATATTTTATTAATTATATAATATATATTTAAAATATATCGAATCGAATCTCTATGGTTCGGTTCGAATCATTTCAAATGTAGATCAGAATGTGCTAAATTGTTTTTTCATAAAACCGTCTCAGGTACTGGTTTATACGACAATTTGGCAGAATATAATCTGCCCTATCCGATGGCTGTGTTTGATCTTGAGTTTTTCAAGACGAAGCCCGAACCATTCTTCTTACTGGCAAAAAAGTTATTCACGAAGTCATTGAAGGTTTCTTGAAATTAAATTGCTTTTAAAATTTTTTAAAAATCTCATTTATTTAAAAAAAGCCTCTGATGTTCGAGATGGAAATAGTAATTCTTTACTACTACTGCAATGCTGAACTGCTTGGAAAAATAATTTTGAATTCTTTTCTCATTTTTTTTATCCTAATTTATGAATTTTTATCCTAATTTATTTTTTATGAATTTTTCAAGTAGCTTGCATTATTGCTGGCTCTTTTGCAAGGCGTTTCAAAATTTCTCAATCGCAAAAATTGATGCATATCGGCTAATTCCATATCTAGTAAAAATTTCTCCTTAGATATCATCTTACTGAGCTTAACAAAAAACAAGATATGCACCATTTATATGGTGGATGACGATAATAAACATGTCATGTCTCAACCTACGTTCTTACGGTGTCATTAATATATGTAGTATTCGTACTGGAATTCTACTTTCACCGCATTTATCTATATCTGTATTATCTAACATAATGTTTTATAATTGATCAATAACGGACTACGCTCTGGTCATTTTATAAGCTCATTTAAGATCCGTGATACTATAATCTGAACCAATGTGCATTTTTTGAAGCCAGTAAACTATATCCATAATCCATTTATCGAGCAGTAGAATTAGAGGATAGAACGAGGATATTTTAGAGGATAGAACGTTAATGTACATAAGTTCTTTTTTCGAAAGGATTTGTGAGTTTCCCATACGTTTACCTTCGTTTAAATTCACATTTTTAGTCTGGTAGAATTCAATAAGTCGGATATTATACTGTCGGACCTCATCACTCTCTTGAACCACCAATTAAATCGAAGGTAGCAAAATCAAAAGGTGCAAAAGTGTTGGTGGCTAGTCGTGAATTGAATTGAAGCAATTTTCTAATGCCTCTCTTAAAATGAATTTTTGGTATCACACTCGTACGCTGGCTAGCTGGATTAGGGTGTATCCTTCTATGTCGTTTCTGGGTGATGAAATTCTTTCCAGAGAGATTCAACAAGCTTATTCTTTGATTAGGATGCGTTCATCTTTCATCAAAATTGGGAACAGGCTATAAGTTCTTTTTTTGCACATATCCTGGCAAGCTGGATGCATTTAAAAAAATACACTTAGTTTTTGGTCTTTTGAATAAGGGAGTTATTTTTTGCTGGCGGTTCGTAGTTGAAGTCATGTGGCTCGATTTCATTCATGTCCTGATTAATTGCAAATCTTCATTAAGATCACTGTCAAAGAACTCTCTCCATCGTGAAATATGACAAGAGAAAATTTTTTATGATGAATGAATATATGAATAGGTGTCCATCTTTACCATAAAAGCGTTATTCCTCCTTCATTTTTTCTGCCTTTATCATTTCACCAATTTCAGCCTACATATTGTCACTATTTCATTCGTTTACTTCATGAAAAAGGACTCCTTCTAAGACTCTTCACTCAAGTACTTTTCTTTCATTTTCTAATTTTTTGTTCACTTATATTATATTTCTTTGAAAATTTTTGTGAGTTGTTTGTGAGATTCTTAGAAGATCTGAAAGTTAAAAGAGGGACATTGCCATAGAAGCACATATGATTTAATAGGTCCAAATAGACCAGTGCTTGATGTATTTCAAAATTATGCTTAGAATATCGATTTATTGGAAAATGTTGCTGGAATAAGTGCGGACAAAGTTGTTACAGCGCATGGGTCACACTGTACGAGCACTTGCTTGAGCTGTGGTCAAAAATATGATCTGAAATGGATTAGCGGTATTTCTTCTTAAAAGGATTTTTTTTAATAGAATTGTTTATTTATTTACTTATTTAAAAAAAAAAAATATTTAAATTATTCGGAAACCACTCTTTATTTATGTCAGTAAATAGCTTTCTATCATTCTTTTCTTGCAATTTTCTAAGATATGATAGTGGTTAATAATTGAAGTATTATATTGCAGAAATTTAATAGCTATTGTTTTTTCTTTTTTATTGAAAAAGGCAAGATTGATCTTCTTTTCCATTCAGTTTTTTACTGGTTAGGCTGGCTACTCTGGCACAGCGTTTTTCAAGTCACTCGATTTGGTGCCATACTGGAAAATATTTTTTTAGAATAGAAGTCATTTTTTTTCCCACCCATATATATCGCTGAGCCGTCTGTGCATTCAAAATCTTTTCTGACTCTCCTGACTATCAATCCAGGCTCTTTGTCCTCCTGCCTTTTAATACCGTCCATCAGTTTAACTGGGTAACGAGATATGCATCTATTCCTTCGAGGGGCGTTAATTAACATGTTATTAAATAATAGGCTTGTATCCGCATAATGATTGGTTGTTAGTATTGTTAAAAAATTTTTCCAAAGAACTGCTTCGTTAGAAATACAAGGAGGTTGCCAGCATCCTGGTTTTTTAGCGAAAATTTTTCTCATGCAGGGACTGAACTCTTGCGCCCCTCCACATTTCGTTACCTGTTTGTACAATGGTGGATTCAGGATATTCATAATCCGGTGAACTTTTACAAGATAGTATATAGGACAGAGCGTTCCGTCTCATTCAGTGCGGGAAGTTTGCCTACAATTATCAATACATAGTCTGTGGTCTATTATAATTCATAACTATCAGCTAAACGACTACATCATCAGCATATTTAAAATCTGTGGCATTTTATCCTCGATTTACAAACCTCTTGAATGCAAGTGGTATCTATAATCCACACTGTAAAGGAAAGAATTCTTTCTTTTTTCTACTCTGGGGCAAAATGTTTTAATTGCTGGAACAAATCAAAGAATTTAGATAAAATTTATGACGAAAAATGTGTGGTCGCTTATTGTGATAAATGTCATGGCATTGTTAAGCCTGATATTGTGTTTTTTGGAGAAGATTTGCCACAGAAATTCTACAGATGCCTTATAACAGTAAGTTTTTTCTCTTTGAGTGAGAATAAATTCCATCGTATGTGGTTAAGCTCACTCGCTATTGCTAAATGAGGTATTTTTGATAGTGGAACCATTGAGGATCTATTGTAGATTGAATCCTCAATGCCAAATAGGTTTTTTTGTGATAGATTTGCTTTTGCTGGGAGCGGAAATGGAACTGTGATGCTCAAAATGCTAATCTAAGCAATAACTCTTCAGCTACCACTCATTTATGGTTAGCAGATTTTTCGTTTGCTATCAGCTTAAACGAGCCGAACTATTTTCATTTCCATGAATTATAGGTTTTGTTTGTGATTTATCGAAGGCAAAAGTAGATATCTATGAATTACTAAATTACTTATAAATTAAAGTGATATATGGTGCAATTTTATACATTAGTTTTGCCCAGGAATAGACTTTTTATAACTGGTGAACTTTGAAATCTAAAAAAAAAACCATTCGAGCATTCACGTCGCATTTTTTTTCTAAAAATTTGTTAGAAAATTAGCATAAAGTGGATGCGTTTGAAATTTTTAACAGTTAAAATTATGGAATTTTTGCCATTTTTCTTTTATTTCACTTCAACTTTTTGTTGAAATTAAGTTTTTAAGTTCGAAGTAGCTGTAATTATTTTTAATTTTTAAGGATTTTCCAAAGTGCGATTTGTTATTAATAATGGGTACATCGCTAACTGTTCATCCTTTCGCTAGTTTAGTGCATGAAGTAGGTAATGATGTGCCGCGATTACTAATCAATTTAACGGAAGCAGGAAAGCAAGATGCATCTTTAAATATGATGTATTCATTTGGATATCGTCTTGCTTATGGTGAAGATGGAAATTATCGGTACGTATAGATTTTTTTTTATTCCTCCATGTAACTAATTTTTGTCTGATGTACCTTTTATTCACACATCGGCTTATTTTGTTTCATTTATTTCTAATTCTTATAAGATCGTACAGTACGAAGATTATTTACGGAAGATTTCTAGGTTAATAAACTTTTCAGAGATGTATTTTGGAAGGGAACATGCGATGATGGTGTAAAGCGTTTAGCTGAACTTTTAAACTGGAAAGACGAACTTTATTCTCTTGTTGAGAAAGAATGGAAAAAAATTAATGAAGAAAATACGAAGCATGCAGAGGCAAAAAAATAAAATAAATATTTGATGGGATGGGCTTTTTTCTTCTTTCATTTTTTTGATACAATGGATCGGGAAGGTTATCTCCTCTATCTCCGGTTATCATGTTTATAAATATTTATCTAGGGATTATTTGGTGATAAAAGTAGCACCATCGATTTTTTAACAGCAGGTTTATCATTCTAGTATATCAAGCCTATGATGATCGACGCAAATCGGGATTTTCAAGGTCACTCGACCATCGCTGCCCTTGGTGATATAATTAAAGTATTATTGACAAAGTTAAACGATTTTTTAGTTCAGGCATTTATTATTGCTGAATTCGTTTTTAAGAGAACAAATTAAGACTGGTGATTCCTTTTTTTTATGTGAAAACATTATGAACGTTATTCGTGTTACACATTTTTGATATATCTTTAGATTTGTGTTACACATATTGGATATAATCTTTGATGATTTTTTAGTAACGTATAATAATTTTTGTCGTCTGTTCGTTTTATAGTTATTCTAATTGTTAAGCAGTCTAAATTTTTATTCATTATTTATTCTGTTTATTATTTTTATGTTTATACTAGAGTTTATATATTGTTTACTTGTAAACTTGTAGGTTTTTTTGTCATTTATACTTCGGGTGTGTAATTAAAGTGATTTTAATTGTTTTAAGCTTTTCTAGTTCACTTTTACTTTAGAAATAAGTTTTTTTTAACTCTTTTACTTCCATTCAGATTGTGACAGATTATTGTCTTCATGGCTGTTCCCTATTTTCTTTTTCCGCTCGTTGGTTCATTGTATTATTATAAAATTTTGCAATGAAAGGCAAGATAAAAATTGGATCTTTACAATTTTAATATCAAGGCAATTAAATGAAAATTGGCTATCAAAACAGCCAATTTTAAAAATTTCTGTATAGTTCCATTTTTTGTGATTGTAAGTTTTAATTTTTATAGGAATTTTTAGTGAAGGGTTAGTTGTGATTAATCCATATAATCAGTGCAATCTTAAAGGGTTAATGAAATAAACAATTGAGAATGGACTGCTAGTTTTCTTTATATAGGATGCCGTCATTCTATATGTTTCCTAAAGGCTAAAAATTGTGGGAGAAATCGCAAAAACTGTGGATTTGTTCATTCGGAAGAAAATTTATTTTTTTATTAAAATTTATTTTACTTCTGTTCTGAAAAAAAATAAGTTTTTGAGGTATGAAAACAACATTTATAACTATAGTAATAATTTTAACAATTACTTTATGTGATACGAAGGAAACGAATTCGGTTAGGAAACTGCTGAAAAGAAGGAAGAACGAGAATCGAGCGACACCGATTATACTGTGGCATGGCATGGGTAATTTTTTGTAAAAATTTGCAGAAGTTTTTTCAAGTGCCAGCGTTGCAGACATGAATATAACTAATAACAAGACCACTGTTCTTTCAAATATAAAATCGAGTCGTCGGTTTGGAAAAATTTAGAGGGCTAGAGCTAAAATACAGTACTATCACTGAAGCACATTTTATCATAATTTTTTTCGGCGATAAACGGTAATTACTGGTTTTCACCGCATAACCAAGTTTTCCTATCAGACTTGCTTCGCTGGCTTATCTGGCAAATTTTGGCAGTCGCTTGGCGATGGAAGTACAACTGAGTCGTCAGTATTGCCTTGACTTTTGAAAAATAAGTTCATTTCTGTCAGTAAAACCTAACATCAGCGCCCTGCAGTGAGAGCAACAAGCTACTGAGTCATTTTATTCTTCTCCTTTCCACTTCATCCTCACCCCACTAAAGCAATTAATCCGGATTTAAACAAATAATGATCACTTTTAATAGAAAGATGCTTGTTAATGAATTCTTTTAGAAAGAATGCGATCATTTGATTCAGATTTTATTCTTTTATCTTAATAATTCTGAAATAACTATATTTAATACTCCTTTATATTTTATTATATTCTTTATATTTTAGGTGACAATTGCTGCGATCCACTCAGCATTGGTCGAATCAAAAAGCTTCTTGAAAAAGAAATTCGAGGAGTTTATGTTCATTCAATAATGATTGGTGATAATGTTGTTTCGGTTCTTATTTTCAGCTTCTATTTAGTTTATTTACGTTTATTTGCTTTGCATTCACAACGTTTCATATTAATTATGGACTCAATACATGAACTATAATGAACTATATTTCGGTAAAGGATACCACATATGGGTACTTTGGTAATGTTAATAATCAAATTTCGGAAGTTTGTCAGCAAATTGGCAATGTTGTGGAATTGAAAAATGGTTATAATGCTATAGGATTTTCACAAGGAGCACAGTTCCTGTAAGTGGTATTCTTAATTCAATGAAACTAAAGAATAATAATCATTCCTATCTTTTCGTTCATTTCTACTTTTTTATGTAACTTTCTATTACCACAAATCGCAAAAAGTTTAAAAGCTTCATCTGTTTAAACTACAAATCACTTTTCATTATTAAATCTTTCGATTATAATTGTAATAGTCGTGGATTGGTTGAACGGTGCCCCTCACCTCCAATGAAGAATTTAATATCAGTTGGTGGACAACAGCAAGGTGTTTATGGTATTCCATATTGCCCTCCAAAAGATTTTTTATGTGAAAAAATGAGGCAGTTAATTGATCTTGGTGCTTATACTTGGTTTATACAGAGCACGTTAGTTCAGAAATTATTTTCTTGTTTTCATCGAGATATTCCACTCAGTTTGTTACTATATTACGCATTGTTTTAAAGTTAAGCAGCGCAAAATAGGAAAAACCCAGTTGCAATTTTCCGAATCACCATTGCCTTTCCTTCATTACGGTAAGTATTTGTAATTTACACTGTTCACTTTTATAGATTGGTTCAAGCTCAGTATTGGCATGATTCCCTCAACGAAAATGAATATCAGACGAAAAGCATTTTCTTAGCTGATATCAATAATGAAAAAGTTTGTTTCATCTCTTTCTTAATTTTCCGCCATAATCGCAACAATAAAGGCGATTAATGAAGACTACAAAAAAAATCCCAATATGCTGGAATCTCAATATCCTTTAATTTTTTAAAGACTTGTTCCGTTAAAAGAATGAGCATATATACTGTATATTTATTATAACAATATTTTTTGATATAATTTATATTCACACTTGCTAAATCATTTTTTAAAGGCTATTAATGAAGACTACAAAAAAAATCTCAATATGCTGGAAAACTTCGTACTTGTAAAATTTTCAAACGATTCGATGGTTAAGCCGGTTGAAAGTGAAGTTTGTTTTTGAATAACTTTTCAAAATAATTCAAAATTATTGTTTATTTTTTCATCTGATGAAACCGAAGATTTTTATTGCTCATTAAGAATAAGCCTTGAAAGCCTTAAAAAAATTACTTTTATATTTAGTGGTTTGGATTTTATGAGCCAAACAGTGTATCGAAAATTTTAGAAATGGAAGAAACTCGACTTTATAGAGAGGTATTTGTTTATTTTGAAGACCAAACATGGCAATACAATAACCACAATTTAAAAAGCATAAAATATTAACAAAATACAATAAAAAATATAAAAATAGTAAAATTAAAAATCTGCTTACTATTATTGTACTAGCAAAAGTGAAATAAGGAAGAATTTTCTGCTAAATAATATCACGAGTAATTCTGCTTAATTTGTTTAAAACCTAGAAAGTGTTGGTGCATTGCATCATTGCACTCGATTTATTCGATTTGTGGTGCAACGATAATAGTTGTTGCTTACCTTTTCTAGCATCAGAGTTCAGAACCTCACTCTGATAAATCTGCCATTAAAAATCCTGGATGCCCATCTGCACTTCTATTACCAATTGACTCTCAGTCAAAAATCTTATACTTATACGTAGTGAAGCGAGATTATGGTCAGCGTCAACTTTTATAATAATAGTTAACACTATAAATGAAAAAATTATGAGAATCTATTAATTATAGTGTACTGAAAAATACTGGAGCTCGGTGAAATTCCCAATCCAATATATATTTTTCTCAGCGATGCCTTAGAAATACTATTTCATTATTGACTCGTATACGCGTGCTATCTGCTGCCATTCCCTTCCTTTTAATTTATTTCATTGCGAAACGCTTGATATGCAATATTATGTAGAGAACCCTAAAACTTGGGAAATAAACCTTTTATTCAGAAAATATAAAAACACCGCAAATATTAACAAATGATCCAAACGACAAACCTCTCCCCCCACCCTCAAATCCCAAATCTCAAAAGTGGCCTCTTGAGAGCTTATAAACTGTTTGAGGTGGGTGAAAGGAAAATTCATCTTATCATCCTTAATGTGCCTCTTACTAAATGAGGTATTCTTCTGCAATATTTTCTATTGGCTTTTGCAACTCTCTTCTCTTTTACTTTCCCAATGCTCTCGATGGGAGAAGTATGTTGGAGGCGCGCATGATTTGCCCAAATTTATAATGCCCTCGCCATTCGGAGACATTTGGCAAATATGTTATCAAAAAATAATTGAAAAAATCGAAGTAAAAACCGATATCAATGTGTTAGTTTATTTCAGGACAGAATAGGTTTGAAAAAAATGAAGAACGATGGAAAACTACACTTCTTATTGCTTAATGGCGATCATCTACAAATTCCTGACTCTGTTTTCGTTTCTGAAATTATTGAAAAATTTTTAAAGTGAGCATCTCTAATTCAAAATTTGTTTTTGAACAAAGGTATGATTAAATTTAAATCAGTGCGATAGTTATTCTTAAATTCTTTAAAATTTATTACTAATATATTTCTTCTTTATTTGTATGCTAAATTTTTTAATTTGTTTATTCAGAATTAATAAATAATAAATAAGATTTATGGTTAAAACAATCAAATAAAACTATGTGCTGTTTCACTAACCAATAGTTTGTGGATTAGTACCATCGAAAAAAAGATTACTTATTTTATGATAGATACTTATCATAAAAAATAAATAAATACAAGGCTTAGTATAGCTCAATAAGTTGTTGATCTTATTTCTTATGGCAACTCACCTTTACTTCTTTTGCTAGGTGACTTCATGGCAAAATTTGTCTGGTTCGATGAACGAGCGGAGCGAGTCTAACCGCAAATGGTGAGCGCTGTTAGATAAAAAATTTGATATAAGAAATTAATGGGAATTTTTTACAAATGATCGAGAAAATATAAAAATTAGCGAGTTTATCGTCTCAGTGCTGGTCTAAATTTGTAATAGACTAAAAGATAAAAAGTACGATAAAAGCATGTATAATATTGGCCTCACGCAACCTAATGCTATGAAGGGTCCAAAATCTTCCAAAGTCTTCTCTATTCCAATCGCTAAAAAATCAAAATCTCCTTTGCAGTACATTCTCTTTAATGCTTTTCGCTTTACATCGTCCAGTTCTCGCTAAACTTTCTCGGGATGACCACCACCCACTCTTTGAGTCATCATTCTACAGACGGACTTACGATATCACATTAAAAATGAATCATAATTTGAGTAAAACCACTGCTTACAAATTTAAGATAAAGCCTGCAGTAACAATGGACAAAAAATTGAAATTATTGGAAAGGCTTTTTAGTTAAACTTCATAAAACAATACAATAGCCTTTTATTTAGAGGGAAATAACTAGGGTTATTTTATCAAATGATACACTTGTTGCAACTGCTGCCAAATATTTTGAGGTGCCCTCTAGCTAGTACTGGATACCGATTCCACAAATAACCTGTTTTGATTCGACCAATTGAATGGAATATGCTCTTGTCAAAGAACTCATTCATAGTTCGGCACGAAAGAATTTTTTGTTCACTTCTTCAACACGGCCTAAGCCAGCCTTCCTAATATCTGCGCTAGCATACGCCAATAAAATATTTGATAAAAGTTAGAACATTCTAACTTTTATCAAATATTTAGTTGATTGCGCAAATAAATAAATTTATGCAAATTTTAACTTCTTAAATCTTCGGTTAAAAAAATACAGAATACTCAAGACGAAGCCGAGGAATTCATTAGAGAATAGCATAAATTTTGGAACCAGGATAAACATAAAATGCAGAAAACAAGTTTTCATAATAAAATAAGAAATGATAAAATCAAAACAAAATATGATCGCGGAAATATAAAATATTGATAAAATAATATTTAAAATATTTCTCAACTGAAGGATAAACTATTCTACCTTTCATGAACCAGATATGCCTTAAATATGCAAATAGTTCCTGCATTGCTAAACACTCGCTCAAATGATACACTTGTTGCAACTGCTGCCAAATATTTTGAGGTGCCCTCTAGCTAGTACTGGATACCGATTCCACAAATAACCTGTTTTGATTCGACCAATTGAATGGAATATGCTCTTGTCAAAGAACTCATTCATAGTTCGGCACGAAAGAATTTTTTGTTCACTTCTTCAACACGGCCTAAGCCAGCCTTCCTAATATCTGCGCTAGCATACGCCAATAAAATATTTGATAAAAGTTAGAACATTCTAACTTTTATCAAATATTTAGTTGATTGCGCAAATAAATAAATTTATGCAAATTTTAACTTCTTAAATCTTCGGTTAAAAAAATACAGAATACTCAAGACGAAGCCGAGGAATTCATTAGAGAATAGCATAAATTTTGGAACCAGGATAAACATAAAATGCAGAAAACAAGTTTTCATAATAAAATAAGAAATGATAAAATCAAAACAAAATATGATCGCGGAAATATAAAATATTGATAAAATAATATTTAAAA